GTAGTGGTTGGTGGGTTTGTATTGGACTTGTGAATGGAGAATCTTGAATAGACTTGGCCCATTAGACCACAAAAGGCAGGTCGGGTGAAGTGTTCTGGTAGACTTCATTTCCAATTTTGTTTTAGTGTGCATCGACCAATTGAGCATAATTATTACTAGATTGTCTAGACCCTGGGGTTCTATCTTTCTTATGCACGACATGATATCCTGACCTTATCTCTCTCTAAAATAGTCCCAATCAATTAAAGTCTGATGGGTCTTTCCTAGGTGACTTGTTTTTCGTGTTTATATCATGCCTATCAAGTAGCTAAGGGAAAGCCAACGAATTGCGGAGGGTTCACGCTACATAGGCGGGCCTCTTGATTAGGTCGCCTTGTCCTCTTTCCCGAAGTGGGTGGCATGGTAGTATGTCACCGACTTGGCTGTGGTGGGGGAAAGCACATCGATCCGCTGTGTACTATAAAGGTGTTGCGTGGTTACACATCCCAGGCTCATGTGCAGCACAGATTGAATCGTTTTCAGCGGGGTCAACACGTTGAGGGGGGGCCGAGTAGTTGGCTGTCGCATCGGTGGTACAGACCTTGCTAAGAGCATCAAAGTCTTTACCATCAATGGCAAAAGCATAGATGGCTAGTATATTTCGGATTGCCTCAATCGTACCAGCATCGGTATAGATCTCGGGCTCGTAGTCACCTGCAAGAGATGAATGGTGACATCGCTAGTCGTAGATGCCACGGCTGCTGAGCTTGCGATGGCGAGGGAGAGCGCGCAGAAAGAGAGTAACTTCATTTTGTCCACAGAAAATCAAACAAATGTATACAATGCAAGGATGGAGCAACTATGTTGCTCTTTTTTTTCATTACAAGAGACTTTTTATTTTATAATACTGCATGCACCAGTCTCAATCTTGCTTTCCCTGAGATCGGAGATGAGATGAACCGAATATCCTCGCTTATACGGCGCAATTGCTACTCATAAGCTAGTGCGGGGCGAAAACTCGAATTAATTAGGACAGTACGCAAAGCTTAACGTCCGGATTATCGAGGAGCCAATATGACAGACGATATAAATTGAATCCGCTATGGACAGGACAGAAGGACCTCGCTTCGGTCGTTAGTTCTCGAAGTGGGGACAGCAAGGGTACATATTGGCCTCGTCGGCCCGAGGCGACCACCGCGGTCTTTTCTCCAAATTGGCCACCGGGGGTTAACTACATTGTTACCTGTGGCTAAGAGATATTAAGCGGGACACGGACGCAATCAAAATCCCTCGGCTAGTATGAAAAGTTCTTGGGGAGTACCTCAACTGTACTTCATGCTCCGTCCTCTGTACTCATTATAAGTTCAGACTTGGAAGAATGAATCCAAGTGAGATATTAATTCAGAATTGCCCATTCTCCATTCTAACCCATTCAGCAACGGGTGTCGCATCCGGGCCAAAGCGAAGAATGCCCCTTAGGGTCTGGCCTGTACATATCCCCAAAATGGCTCGTGAAGCGGCCCAGTGAGCACGGGAGCTCTGAACCCGTACAACCTGGCAGTTTTATTTTGCACTGTTGCTGCCATAGGTCTACAATATATAGTGAAAATTGATCGTATAGGCTATGATTGGGAACCCTGCAAGTGGCGATAGCGCCGGGGCCGTGGAAGGGACATATTATTTAGCGCTTTTCCATTTGACTGTTGCATTTGTATGTTGTTTTTCTGTGCAGACACCAGATATATGGGCGACGCTCTTTGGTAGACTGTAGGTGTCGATTCCACCAAGTATCCCTGTTCAAAATGGATATGGCCGTCCATTACCTCTCTCACTGGGAGAAGCGAGCCGAGACCACAATGGATGCTCCATTGATATTCAAACAGGGTCAAGCGGTAAGCATCTTTGCAAATCACAAGAACAAATGTAATACCAGCTTAACAGTTTTAGATAGTGATGTGTATTGGCGTGGCGCTATCGGTTATTCGAACACACGTTCAATATAAAAAAAGGCAAGCAGCTATTCCTCAACAACTACTGGATATCCCTCGCCATGCCCTGCCATCTCACAACTGCTATAGTCTACCAATTTGTCATGTCCCCGATGTACGAGGTCGCATATACCGGGGCAGGGTTGAAGACTGCAACAGCGGACTTTATGGATCGAGCCTCCCTTTTCCTTAAATTACAATATGCTGCCGATCTTCTCATCTGGACCACATTGTGCTCAGTGAAGTTTTCGCTTCTCTTCTTCTTCTGGCGAGTGTTTGACTCGGTGAATTCTCCTATGAGGATGTTCTGGTGGATCATGTGTGGGAGAATATCGTGTCACCTGATTCAAAATAGAAATGGATTCATCTAGATAAGTGATAACTCTTGATGGCGCTCCCACCTCGACTACGGTATGTGTGTCCACGGGTATACCATTTATCCCAACCCATCGCTGAGCGATACGCAGGCTAAAAGCACGGTGTTAAGAATAATACACCATCTGTAGCAGTATGTCAACTAAGCACGGGCCATTTATATCCACATATATCCAGACCCACCGGTTTAATATTCTGCGACGATCACAGACTACGCGGCGCCTAAGAAAGAGTACCCACGTCCTAGTGTCCCGGTACCGAGGCACCAGATATGTACCGTCAAGGCTTATCCCGGATAAACCGGAAAAACCCCTTTTTGATCTTCGATACGGTAGGACTTGAATTCCACCGAACACAATCAGTTTGTTCAATGCATATTCCAGCATTAAACCCTTTCAACCAAGAGGCCCACGCCCTCACAAAAGCGGCAGCTAAAATAGGCTCGGTATAGAGGTTCGACTCGCTACTAATGAAAGGAAACGAACGGATTAAGTAGCTATAGATTTCTCAGTCAAAGAAGACTCCAATTAGAATATAATGCTCGCTTGTGCAACGCTTGTCCTGAATCATGCAAATACATCAACCCAGCCGCACCAGTATATGTCCAATCTAAATGAAATCACAAAATCAATCAATATTCCCAGGAGGGTATCACGCCAGTCCATGTCCCCAACATCTTCCAAAAAAAGGAAAAATAAAATGAATCAAGAGAAGATGCCCAAGGGCAATGTCATAGCCACTTCAAAGTTGGGCACGTTGACCACTTCAGCAATATGCAAGTCACCAGCAACACTAGCAAGAATGTATGCCTCGCTGCGAGTGAGACCCTTAGTCTGCACCAACCACTGTATAAGATTCCGAGTAGCACTCCTGGTAGCCTCGTACAGGTCAGGAGCAATACCGAGAGCACCGTAGGTTCCAAGGTCGGGAAGGGGGTTTGGTATTTGGGCGAGGGGAGGAGTCTGGAACTGAGGAGCCGTCATCCAGGGTTGGTTCTTGAGGAGCTCAAAGCGGAGGGTAGCGCGAATCGGGGTTTCGATGGCAGTGCCACAGACCTCGCCGTGGCCCTGGGCTGCATGACCGTCACCACAGCTGAAGAGGGCGCCGGCGGTTTGAACGGGGAGGAAGACGGTGGAGCCGACGCTGAGCTCTCGACAGTCCATGTTTCCGCCGGCGTTTGTGGGCGGCACGGTCGAGAGTTCTTCGTCGTTGGCTGGGGCGAGACCCATACATCCGAGGAAGGGACGCAAGGGGATCCGCATGTTTTTGAATTGGGCGAAGCCTGCTTCGCGGTTCAGCTCCCAGATCTTGATCTCGGGCTCTGGGAATTCGTCGGCCAGCAGACCGAAGCCTGGAATGATGGCGGACCAGCCCCAGTCGGCAACCTCGAGGTTCAGGACTTCGACTTTGAGGACATCGCCGGGTTGGGCGTCGTTCATATAGATCGGGCCGAAGACGGGATTGGCCAGGCCGAGATCCAAGGTCTTGATGGCTGAGGCCTTGGAGGATGTGTCGAGTTGACCATTGCTACTGTCGATAGCATCGAAAGAGACTGTGTCACCGGAGGAGACGGTGAATTTGGGGGTGTTCCGACGAGACCACTTTTGGTGGCTACATTCTCTTCCCACGTGGAAGTTACTCCATTGCTTTGGTGCCATGTCGAATGTTTGAGGGTTCCCAGGTTTCTGTCAGGATCATTGAAGGGACACAATATATGGAAAGACAGATTTGAAGGTAATAACGGAAATGGAAAAAATCAGACCAAAAGGGGAAGGGAAAAAAAGAAACCGTGGAATAGACGGGCGATTTTGTATCTAAGGAACTCGGGAGATCCTCTTCAGGGTTGACCGTTCTGGAAGGTGGCTACAGCCGGATCTTATGCTTCTTTTGCCAGCTCCACCCCGAGACTGACTCGCCTGCCTAAAGTAGTTTGACAGATTTCCAGTAGATTGGTCCTGCCCCCTCCGTCGGAGCCTCTGGTTTTCAAGATTAGCTCCATCTCCATTGGAGTATGAAGAAATCCCGAGGTTTGGTTGGATAAAACGGGACAGAACAGCAGTAAGCGGGCATGCAGACCACCTGCACATCGTAGGGCGGGGGAGAACCCGATTGTAGCATTCTATACGAAGTACAGCTGTACTGCAGTTATACTTTCATCTCTATACAATATCAAATTCAAATTGCATCATTTAATAGAACTAAAGGAAAACCCTCGGAAAACCCAAGTTTCCCTGAACTTCCTAAATTTGAAATGTTCTCTGTATAAATGCACGATTGGATTGGTTGGTAGACATTTCTTCCTTTTTCTCTCTCTTTTTTTTTACTTTGGTTCCTAGAAATGAAAATAGTTAAAATAAATTTTAAATAACCGAATTCTGGAAATTCTGGAAATATTAAATATTCAAAAATTGAAAATTTCATTAAAATTTCATTAGAAATCCAAAATAGTCCAACACCACCTTCTTCATTGGGTAAGGAGCGAACCGTTGGTAGGCTGTGAGTGGCACAGCTGCATAACATTTTCCGAGTGGAACTTTTGGCTAACTTTGCTAACTATAGGACTATACTATACAGAAGTATGTTGTATACAGACTACTAAAGGGGTATACTGAGTATACAGAGTATATCTTGTATAATATTGGATATATACTCTAGACCTCACGATCCCTGTCCGTCCAACAACGCTACAATACACGTTGCATTGTCGCTGCGAGGTCTGCTAGCACTATTGGTGGCGATTTCTTGTGCGATTTCATTTGCTCGTTTTCCCCGCATCGATAATTTCATCACGTGCTGAACCAGGGTCACGTCGTCCACTCGATCGCTAACTCCGTCGGACACCACTAGTAGCAGGTAACGGCGGTCTGTGTGCAACCTCCGTAGCGAGGTGTATGGGTCATTGGATAGGAAGTTGCCCCGAGATTCCGATCGGCTGGTAGCAGATGAGGCGGGGTCCGGCGCGAAGTTGTCTTGGAAAGTATTCAACGGATTTTTGTACTGCAGGTCGCCTACTGCCCGAGACATGTTCAAGGAACCTGTTCCTCAGTCAGTATACAATTCGGAGGTCCACTCTCCTTCCTAACCCACCAAGGCGTGCTGTCCCACTGCGGTTGTTGACTGTCCCGCCTGCCTCTTCAATTCGGACCCTTTCGCTGGGAATTGAGGGCTTGTGAGCCTCTGTGAGACGTCGCTAAGCATGTGACTGTTAGCATCCACGCTCGACCAACGCAAGTCAATGGCGGTGCGTACGATGTGATACGGGTGCTCTGTTTGCGGGTCCCTTTCGGCTAGGATAACATGTGAGTCACCTAGATTGGAGACGAACAGCTCGCCCTTGGTGAGATTAATGCAACACATTGCTACTGTCGATCCTGAAACGGCAGGCTCGACAGATTCATACTTGAACCTATCCAACAGAATTCTGTCCTCTTCTGCCAGTGCTGCCTTGATAGCCCCGGCCCAATCTTCTCGTTCGAACTCCGGCCGCCGTCCGAACAGGTGGTGCAGACTGTTCTTAACTTGTTCTGAAACTAATTCAGAGCCACTAGAGATACTGGTCAATTCGAGGCTCGTTCAGAGGACTGACTTCGAGGCTTTCCTTACTGCCCATCATAGATTGCGAAGAATGCAACCTTGTCCTCCATGTTCGAAGGAAATTGACTTGGGAAAATCACTGCGCACCGATCTTCTTGATTCTTCCTACCACCCTGGGACTGCCGTTTGGTTATTGATAAGTAAGGTAGCTGTGCGAGGACCATGCGCCTTGAGACTCACTTGACCAGCCCCAGCATCAAAGAGCGCGACTGCGTCTGAGACAGGCTTTGTGTTATGGAACATCTGGTCCCTCAGAGCTCTGTGGGCGACAACCATGCTGGGCAGTTGATGTACAAAATCAATACCCTCCTAAGGGCATGGGCAAGGTTCCGTCTCGATATGTATGGATAATGATTATGATGATGAGGCACTGACATCATGAACGCCTTCTGTTTTTGACTGGTTCTAGGTCGTTTACCACCGATATCTAATTGGTGGCTTTCAATGGTTCCCCGGAGTCCATTCCTTTCCAGACAGGTTTGCCAGCGATGTTGCTATTTGACTACTGGCAACATATTCTATTTCCTCGACGCTTGGGGAGATATCGTGGTAAATTCTCTTCTTCTAGATATCTCAGTACAACGAGTCTAATTAATCACCAAAATAATTGAAATAACTCTTTGCCAAGTAGTATTACCTTCTGTTGAGCAGACTCTGAATGTTGCATAGATCTTCTATTGACAGCGCACGGGCCAATTTTCTCGGCGAACCTGCAAGATTGTGATTCTAATCAGGAACAACCTTCTGGACTCACTTTGCTCACTTTCAGTGCCTTTCTGATTTAGTTCGGCATGGGTTGGGTAGGCGCAGGTGTGCTTATTGCAACAATAGGCTACTTTCTCTACCGGTACCCTCCCAGCAGCTGGGCCGAACCTCGTTACTCTTCCCCGGAACCCAACCCCGGCGCGCCGGTTGCCGCTGCCACCGCAAACGAGCCTGTGCAGCGGAAGCATGGCTCCCGGCCCTCGACGCCATCAATAGAGACAGAGGAGGAGGATTCACAGCACACACCCAAGGCTTCGGCTTCGAGCGTGCCGTCCCCCGTCGCTGCAGTCCCCACATTCAGCCTAGACAGCGGCGAGAGCGAGACATCGCAACCCGCCACAATGCCGTCCATTTCGCAAACCATGAATGGAACAGCAAAGCAACTATCTTCGACAAACAGTGATCATGACGAACCAAAGATCAAGCCGCCACCGCAGCCATCCCTCGCACCCCCTCCAAAACCACAACCACAACCATCATCTATACCCCCGAAGGCAACAACCACCGGCGCCTCTTCCCTAATGCCTCCTCCCCCACGGCCCCGACCAGCAAACCAAGCAAACCGCCTCACCCCCACAAGCACGCTCCAACCCCCACGACTCAGCGGCAACTCCCTGGGCCCGCCACCATCAGCAGCCGCCTCACAGCGCGGCCTTGGCCCACCGAGCAGCGGCAGCCGTCTTAGCAGCAGCACCCTCGCCCCGACACAAGTATCCTTGAAGAAGTCATCATCACGCAAAGTGATTCTCGAGCCAGGATTCTCGCCCTTGATTGGGCAGCGCTAGCAGCGAACCCGAAGAACAACCTCCGCGGCAAAGGCCTTCCCCCAGGCCTGTTGCGAGTCACACCGTCAATGCTGAAGGAGCAGAACGGACGTAAGGGTCGGGATGCCTGGACTTCGTACTTCGGCAAGGTGTATAACATCTCGCCCTACGCCCCTTACCATCCAGGTGGGAAGGGTGAGCTCCTCCGTGGTGCGGGGAAGGACTCTGCGCAGCTGTTCCAGGAAATCCACCCGTGGGTCAACTGGGAGGGGATTCTTGGCGAGTGTCTGGTCGGGATTCTGGTTTCGGAGAATGATATCCAGACCGAGAATGCTCTGGATGCGATGGACTGATACTCGGTCTGCTGTTTGGTTGCTATTTTACTCTTCTGTAATTGTTCAGCCGGTTTGTATACAGTGTACATCTTACCACATATAAATGAGATACCCTGCTGCTATATTATAAACCAACTCGCATGCGAAAAAGGTATATATTTGATTTTACCGGATGTCATGGCCTAGTCATCAGAATCCCTCCCAGAGGTCACGTAGGTAGATATCAAACACCACTAATTCAAAGCTCATCCTTCACGCCATCAATGCCGACCAGCTCGGTCTCAAACACCAACGTCGCACCGCCGGGAATAGGCCCGATACCGCGGTCTCCGTAGCCGAACTCGGGCGGGATAGTCAGCGTGCGCTTCTCGCCAATGCACATATCCAGCAGACCCTGGTCCCATCTGTATACGACAAACACACGAATTAGCTTCCATACGAATAACCAGGATAAACAGGATGTTTATAGGCAATTGCACGATTGACATCCACAAACAGCGGATAGCTTCCAACTCACCCTTGATAACACGACCGGTACCCAGCTTGAAGGTCAATGGCGCTTTGCGCTTGTAGCTGGAATCGAACTCGGATCCGTCGGACTGCAGGGTGCCGCGGTAGTGCATGGCAACTCCGTCGCCGCTGGTGGTCTTGCGGGTGCACTCGACGGCGTGGGTTACTTCGATGCCGAGATCGGCGGCAGCTGCGAGCGAGCCGAGGGCTGCGACGAGGATGGAGGTGAGACGCATTGTGTGTTTTGGGGTGGATTGGGGAGGGGAATTGGAGAGATGAGGAGTTGGATGTGGACAGATAGGCGGGGATTGGACCGAGGTTTAGCGTTGGTCTGTGCTTTAAGCTTATGCGAGGTGGTTGCAAGGTTTATGTCCGTGGGAATTATTGCAACGTATGTATTGCTTATTACCGATATTTTGTCAATCCTTTTGGGCGCGCTTGGACTAGACAATAGAGGGGGCTCGCAAGACACCAGCTGTTATGCACTAAAGATGCTGGATATATATGTATCTGGCTGTAACTATATATGTTTGTAGTAGTTGTGTACTTCGAAGCATTTGAAGATTTTGTGTTATTGACTACGATTAAGCGGATATTCCACCTGTGGTTCTACCTAAACCATTGAGATCCGAGTAGCTGTTGGTCCTGATCATATGGGGATATCATAACATCCCCATGCTTGACCTTCGGCCGTCCATCGACGATTGCCGTACACCGAAAGCCATTCTAACCCTTCACTGTCTAGCTCACGGATTTATCATCATCATTAGGAAGACCCCGGACCATGACCTGATCAGCAGCAGCTTTTAAATCATCCTCACCCATATCGCCATCCCAGCCCTGGGAAACAAGGTAAGCACGGAATTTCTCATCGCGCACCCTCAAATCCTCGCCCGTCAGATCAGGCACAAAGAAGAAAGTCACCAGAATCCCAACAACGCCACAAATAGCAGCAATAATGAAAGTCCACTTATTCCCCAGCCGATTCTTAATAGGCTGAAACGCCTGCGTGCCGATAGCAGCACCAGCCTTCCCATAGCAGCAGAGAGCCCATAGCAAGTCCCCCCGCACACCGGTAGCATACGACTCAGACGAAAGCAGACCAAGCATATTGCCCGGGCCGAAATTGCCCGAGCTCTGCATCAGTCCGTAGAAGACAACGAAGAGAGGCACGATCTTCGTAATGCGGTCGTAGGCGCAGCCAATAATCAAACCGAAGATCAGGTATCCGCTGAAGCCGATCATCATGATGCGCTTGCGACCAAGACGGTCGCAGAGGATGGCTCCGAGGAAGACGCCCGGCAGCGCGATTGCGCCGAGGAGAAGCTGCCATTCGCCTGTTTTCAGGATCGTGCCGTCGTGCACGACTGAGGAGATGATAGTACCGGAGAAGACGCCGTTAGGGAAAGTGACGAAGTCTGTACGTGTTAGTTTCCACATTTTTGTGAATACTGGAGGGCTCGCTTACCGTAGAGGAACCAAGCACCGCATGTCCCAATCAACGCTTTCCAGTAATACCGCAGCACGAGCATGTAGGGTACGTGTTTTTTGATCGCTCCGCGTCGGTATAACACCGAGTTCAGCATGCGGATTCGGAAGTAGAACACCGATAGCGGCCAGACGCATCCTATGCCAAAGCACACCCGCCACACGGTGCTGTAGTGGGACTGTTGACAGGCCATGAGTACGACCAAGAAGATTGACACTGCGAATGGGCCCCCAAACGACAGGGGGAAGTTGGTCACCATGATGAATGCCGGGCCACGGTGCTTTGGGGTTAGATCGTTTGCTGCTTCCGAGGCGGAAGTTGAAGAGGCCGGATACTCGCCGCCGGCGCCTGGAGATAGTTAGTAGAGTAACCAAAGGTCTTCGGGATATGCAAGCAACGCAAATTTATTGAGGTTTTACTTACCGAAGCCGACAACGCCACGGGCAACCGTCATCATCCAGAACATGCCATTGATGGTAACGCCATGCGAGGCTGTGGCGAGAATACCTCCGATGACAAACATAAGGGTTGTGAAGACGATGGCGGTCTTACGTCCGAGATAGTCGCATGTCAGTCTGGTATAGTACCGTCAGTCGTCAAATCTCCATAGCCCTAACCTTTAGGATTGTCTTGTGCGTACCCAATAACAACCTGTCCAATGACTTCGCCGACAAGTAGAGCATTCGAGACGCGTGTGCTGACGGTGGAAGTGTACTCCTTGGGGTATTCCTTTTTGAGGAGGACATTGGTCATAGTCCTGATGAGGCGTTCTGTTGGTTAGACACAGTCGTGCATGGGAGCAACCGTTCGACCCACATTAAATTGTTTTGGTATCCATCGCTGATCAGAGCGAAGCCGCTTGCAAACTATTGGACGCCATCCGGTTGGTCAGTCTGTTATTGTCTAGCTCGAGATGCGAGTGTGGGGGAGACGAAAAATAACCTGGCATGGATAGGCTGGGACGATGCACTCACAATAGTGAAGAGGTCTGACAGACTCTGTTTCTTCAGTGAATGAGCAGGGTCAGTGTCAACGTGGTTAACAGTGTCTTGGGCCACAGCCTTGGACGAATCGTATCCAGGGAGCGCGGTCAAATCGCGTGCTGAAGCCATTTCGATAGCTTTTGAGAGATGGTTTTGGGAAAGTTTTGGATTGTGGTCCTTCCTGATAGGATTGGAGGCCAAGGATGTCGGGCACCCCTTGCAATTTGCTGTTATTTATTTCATTCTCGACGTGTTGTACAAGTTAGAGCGGGGAACCCCTGTCAGGAAGTAGCCCTATAGAAATGGTTAATGCGTGCAACTAAGACTTCCAAGGTTAAGCTAATAGCTTATCTACGCTTGGGTCCAGGGTGGGCTTGGTATACCTCGGAAGTCAAGCAAGACTACACCAAGATATAAGGTCAGGATTGAACGTGGCCTGGTCTACTGCTGGCTATGTTATCTACTGCTGGCTACTGTTTGACTATCCTCAGTTGAATGGTCCGGATAATTTTTCATTCATCGGCTTAAGGAGATACATTCGCTAAAGTAACGCCGGATGTGGCTAAAACTGGCCAGGATCCCGTGGGTATCAGATGGTAGAAACGATATCTGACCATAATAGATAATTATGGCAAAGGAAGCAAAGACATGGCACATAATTAAGAAGAAAGAAGTTCCCAGATACTTTTGTTTCCGTCATGAAGCAGCAAAGATACGTTTATGCCCATTTGCCCAGCAAAGCCATGAGGGCAGCTCCGGCACAAAGGAGGAAGAAGGCAAGCAGCACATCGCGGATGGGAGCCTTGCGCATGGAGTGGCTGAACATGAACTCATGAGCCATAAGCTCAACGAGAGCAGTGTAGATGAGAATTCCAGCGGAGATAGAGTCAAAGACACCGTTGACGATGAGGGTGGTGCGTCCAGTAGGCGGGTAGCTGTTTCGGACACCCAAGCCAATAGCAATGGCAATTGGCGTCGAGAGTCCATAGGCAAGGCCCAGGTAGTAGGGGGTGTTGCGCTTGGATTTGGGCCAAGGAAGGGTAGCTAGACGAGAACCAAGACCGAGTCCTTCAAAGGTTTGGTGGAAGACGAGCACAATGTAGAGGGTAATGAACTCTTCGCCTGACACTGCAAGAGTGAGACCGATGAAGACAGAGTGGAAGATGATACCGAACTCCAGGATGAAGATCGAGGTAAGCTGAGCGGCATAGTCCTCAGCCGCTTGGAGACCGTGTTCCGAGTCGCTATTATCGTGATGCTCACGGGAATGACCAAGGTGATCCTCTCCCGGCATATGAATCTTGGGCTCATTGGCTTGGTTGACAACAGAGTGATCATCAAGTTGGGTGTGGGTTTTGCCTTCCTCGTCGTGCAAATGACCTTGGCCAAAGCGCGAGAAACGCATAACCATCAGCTCGACAAAGAAGAGAACAATAATGGTCATGAGGATGATGCCTTCCACCCAGCTGTATTCAGTAATTGGGCCGGTCAAGCATTCGTTCTTCAGTGCCTCCTCTGCCGGACCCAATAGGTGAATAAAAGCAGTGGCAATGATCACACCGGATCCGAAGTACTTGGCGACGAAAAAGGCCCATTTGGGGAATCCACCGCCCTTGCTAAAGCGACGGGCGAAGACTGGGAACAGAGCACCGAACATGGAGCCAACCATGATCACGAAGATGGAAGAGATTCGCAGGCCCATCCGGCCATCGAACTCATTTCCGGATTCACAAGCATCTTCGCGCTTGAGGAGAGTAGCGTAAGATTCCATTGAGGGTTGATTTGGGACACAAGAAGTATAGATGGAGAGGTGGGACGAAGCCAAGGTCCGTTAGAACCAATGAAGTGCACACAAGACAAGACAAGAAATCTTGGAAGTCTTGGAAGTCTTGGAAGTCTTGGAATGCTGCGAATGCCCCAATTAAGGAGAGAAGAATCTGTGAACAAGTTGAGACAAGAAAAAAGGAAATCTTGGAGGGGGGTGTGTGCGAGGCTAGTTGACTGCAATCCCCAAGGTCCTCGATAGTAGCGTCGTTGGTCCACTAATCACGCATGGAATTACCAGGGGATTCTGACAGTGCCAAACTTTGTGGATACTGATCGAACAGGCAATAAGAAGGAAATAAAGTCTTCTTCTGGCCGTGTATATGAATCGTACTGTGAAGTCGCACGGTGCAAGCCTTTCGATAGATTTCCCCTAGAAGTACCCTGCGAGGCCGGAAAATTTCCACATAGATCTCTTGGTAATAAATCAAGCTTTGAATGATGGACAGAATCAAAACCGAATCAGAATTTGTGTGATCTTGATTATATTATTCGGGGCTGGAGGGATCCATGAGGACCTTGGGAGCGCGAAGACGTCAAGGATGGAGTTTTCCACTCGATCAGACCAGTACCGGGTACTTGTGAGACCATACGATTTTTGGTGTGGTCAGAAGTACCCGGTACCTACGACTAGCGTATTGAGGACCTTGGTGTCCGATTGCGGTTGCGGTCGCGGGACAAGGAAAAGGAAAAGTAAGCATATCATAGCAGCGTCGTATTAAGGTGTTGTATGTTGCATAGGTTTTTGCTGTGAGATAAATGATGATCTCATTTTGTCAGTTGTCAGCATTTAAGGAATGAATGAAGCCAGGCCTACATCCAACATGTATGTAGGAAAATGTATACATTTCACGTGGTTGGCCTACCTCACGGTTTATCAGCCCTTTACTGTGTTCCGAGGTCTTTGATCCATCTTCTCGTTCTTGATGGAATAGGTTAGGAAGACTTGAATGATCAGAAGGGTTTGAAGAACGTGGTTGACAGCCCCTTGAGAGAGGCCTGGAGTTCTTTCAGCCCTTGCACGCGTCTCGATCGCCAATCCGCGGATCGGCGGCAAAAGCGCTTGGCATGGTGTTGAAGTCATAGGGAAGCTTGACCGCGCCCTTGCACAGTACATTCGAACATGGCTCCCATTCGACGATATCTCCGTATTAGCAAATACTCAGTACTGGAATGTCGGATTTATCTGGAATCCCCATCTGATTCACGATGGCTCTTGGACTCTCGCGATCCTGTGCTACCACGCGTCATCTCTGCCGTTCGACCGTTGGTCCTTCCGAAGCTGCGTGAAGAGAATGAGCGGTTGTTCATGCGCAAAAAGGGCAAGCCGGTCAAGGATGTCATTGCAGAAGGTATAGACCTTTCGATATCCTCGTATAATGAAGCAAGTATGTTAACATATTACCTAGATGACTTTGAAGTGGCCATCTTCCTCCGCGAATCCCGCACCCGCCATTCGCTCCTCACGCGCAACAAAACATTCCACGGAAAGGAACGTCAAGCTCGAAACTTAAAACTGGAGTTGAACCAAGAACATGTCTCAGAGGATACGGCTGCCAACCCGGTTAACTCGGGAGATGGCGAAATTATGATCGAGAGTGATAGTGAGCCTGATCTGGAATTGCACAATATTCCCGAATCTGCGGACGAAGTTGCACTAGGGGGATAGGCGTCGGTCAAGCAGGAGAACTCAGGCAACTAGAGAAGACCAGGTGCCTGAAGACACTGGCAGTGACGAGAAGAAGCTTGGTTTCAGCACCCATTACGAGAGCTTCAATATCTATGGATGGGTGTTATGTCTGTTGATCACCCGCAAGGGCGACAAAACCAGACCAAGTGCTGTGGCATCTGAGTCAAATCGGCAACCTCTGATGGAAGAATGGATTTCAACTCAGGCTCAGGCGTCTGTTGACGAGTGATCCAATGTGGACCTAGCAATGCTCAATGTGGCCGACAGGCATCTTGCTTATGGTCAAGCTTTGTCAACCTCGTACTGTGGGCAGCCGTGGTGGAATGGTCAGCCTCAAAGAGCCTTGTGACACTGCCAGAGCACCGCCAAGCATGGAATATTGCCAGGATTATTAGTGATGTATTATGTTCCAACCCCCTACAAACGCTACAAGACAGTGTTTCAACTTGTGCATGTTGCAAACACCGTGTGAGAGACTGTCTCATCCCGTCAAGTCAAAGTCATGGATTCGGGGACCCATGTCGCGCGGTACGTCGACTCTATAGTCTACGAGGCTAGATGTCACTTGTGAGAACACAACCCCTTCCCACTACCGGGCCGCGACAGGATTGCATTCTGTAATGCTGTGATCGGCAGGTGGGTGTCACCGAATATCGGAGAGGTTACGCAAGTGGCGGGCTGTCATACTCCCCAGATGACTTCTTCAGGTACGGTGCTAGGTAGACAGAGCCGCTGAGACGAAAATGTCAGCCAAGGGACCCCGGCACATGCAGCCAGTGACATTTCGATGATCTGCATGGCATAAGACATAGCGTGATATTGACTTTTCTACATGACTACTCTGTTTACATGTCTCGGTCGCATTCATGACATTTTATGGCAGAACGGACAAGGGCATGACACTATGTTGTAGTCTAACCCACACATCCCAATTTCCTCGGAGACATTCCGATTCCACCCAATATGAAAATCCCCATGTGGTATGGTCTTGCAACCTCGGGCCGCAACTTCCAGAAGGCAAGCTAGAAGATTTTGAAGTGGAGCTCGACTTGAAACAGCCCGTCCCCTCACCCCAACACCTTCTCAATGGAGAAAGATCTTAGTCCCAATGTGCTGGGTTCCGGAGCATGAGCATCCTTCAGTTGCCGAAAGTTAATACAAGTCACACGGACAGATTTCTTTGACTAGACTGCATATCGATGTTCGTGCGGAGTACTCAAGAATTAGGACTAGAATACCTTGACCTCCAAACCCACGGTCAATAAACGATGTACAACATATATGAATATCTCAATGCTATGATACGAGGTAATGCCCGATCTGTTTAACCGTCATAAATCTCCGACTCCCTCTCAACTCCACAGCTTTTATTTCCAACGGTGCGGAAAGGAATTCAAGTGGAGTATACCTCCTAATTGGGACCGTTTATTGAAGTTTGTGGACCGCTAGTTCATGTACGGAGTAGAGTTTTCTTCCCATGTGTCTTTTTCCTTTCTTTTCCCCTTCTTTTTCGCCACTTTTCCCACTTTTTCCCACTTTTCTTTTCCCCTTTCTTGGCTCCCCGGCCCTTAGCTCAGGTACACCCGTGTGGTCGCATCCATTCCATAATTTGCCACTTGACTCCCCACTTTGTCCGTGTACTTTGCCTTTTTCATCGGACGGGTAGTCAAATTATGCTGTTGCTAACCTTGGAATAGTATACGGGCTCTGTACGAGTACGGAGTACCTAGGTACGAAGTTCCAATTATCATCATAGCATTTGTAATTCCTTTACCTGCCTCTTTGAACATATGCGGGGTCTTCCAAGGTTGTTTGCAAATCCTGTGTGTACCGTTGTATGTTGTGTGTTGGATAAGGTATGCCGCATTTAAGGGATACGAGCATTAGCACTCACTGTCTTACTACTCCGTACATAAAGCAGAGTGGTTTTACGTAGATTTCCTACAGAAGTACAATATTGAAGTCTACTGTAATAATTTCTCTGCCTGGGTTTACCGAATGCCGTGATGTAACGGGAGACCATTGTATTAGTTATTATTTAGGGCTCCAGATAATTTCCGGGGAAGACTGTAAACATCCCGAAGCTGGGATTTCCTCAGGTAAGTAGTACATGGTCGTAGTCTGTACGTTATTTACACATTTACACCAGTTCATACAAGATGCTCGCACCACACGTCCAACAGGAGTAACCGCTACCCATGGTGATCACGCCATGAACGCCACACCAGGGGGGTGAAGTAGATCTCCCACCGTGAAACCTAGGCCCAGTGATGTGCACAATGCAACCACTAAAGGAATGGGCGAAAAACTTGGACAAACCCCTCTCGATGCAATCTTCATTACTAGCCAATAAGCATGAGGACCGGGGTCATATATTGCATACAGGGATCCATTATTTTTCTCCAGATGTGCTACGACGCTGTTCTGCATGCTTTCAAAATGATGATGTGCAATGCACAGTCCTCTGCAGTAAGACGATCCTACCCAGGGACTAGTTATCAGCCACAATTCATTGAGGCGGAGGTTAATCGGCTCTGTATTCCGTACTCCGCACTCCATCGGGGATCGATAGTATATGCCGGGCAACTCAAAAATTGGCTTTTATTTGTATTACATGTTGTTATTAGAGGGCCTAAGCGGGCGTAGAGTTGAATGATAAGAAATAGATAAGAATAGGGGATTGTGTACGGAGTACGGAGGGCAGTAAGGAATCTGATAATATGGAGCGCAATATGGAGTAATCCGTATGATAATATGGAATAATAGCCGAAGTGCATACTCCGTACATAAAATTACATATGCAAAAGCGAAACCGTTACTCCGTAGAAGTTACAGAATGAATGACTTCAAAGGGGTTCTATTCTTGCATGTCTCACGGCTTTATTTTGGTAGCACGGGTAAGAACCACGGTTGAGGATGGGTCCTCGATTCGACCTCAGATTTCACTGCCTTTTTTGCCTTTTATTTTTTTTACTTTTTATTTATTTATTTCTTTCTTTTTAGCCCCTGAGACTGTACCACCCTGGTTCTTATTCTAGATATATATATGCATATGTAATGGGCTAAGTATATATATATGTGCGTATATGATATGTCATATTTGTTTACGAGACTCGGAAGGAATGGGTGAGATGAACAGGCTTATCCTCTTTAATCCCAGCATCCTGGCACTCGGCTGCCAGGCCTTTTTAGTATATGTAATCAATACGAATCGGCCGTCCCGTTTGACGCTAAATCGACGGAAGCAAAAAAGAATGGTCAAATCTCATAATGTTATTTTCTTTTCTTTTTTTTCCTTTTACTTTTTCTTTTGATTTTCTTTGCTTTTTTCCCCTCCCGCGAACGTTGCTCTCTCTCTCTCTCTCTCTCTCTCTCTCTCTCGGGATCTGCAAACATGCACGTGTTGTGACCTGACATCTTGTTGTTCTCTCCTATTGAGTCATACAGGATTAATGTGCTTGGACCTATGCTGTTATCATGTTCCAATACGGAGTACAGAGTATAGGTTGTACAACTAATCAAAAAGAAATATATATATAATTTTTTTTTTTTTAAGAAAAAAAGAAAGAAAAGAAAGAGAAAAAAAAGGCCATTCTCACCGCATCAAGGAACCGCCCCTATGGAGCCTGAGTGGGCCCACGGGAGATTGCCCTTTACCAGTTGTCATCTCGCGTGGTTTCATGATTTACTATACATACGGGGGTTGTGAGACCTAACCAGAAATTTTAAGAGCTGCAAGAGTTAGTCCATGTACCCTGGACTTCAATCTGTACTATGTATATAGTGAGGTAACACGACATATATGTTTGATTACTATGTCTCATTTTCCTCCACTTTCTCCCTTCGCTAGTGGTTCATAGGAAATAACAAGGCGCCACAGAAGTGGGGAGCTTCTAGAAAAAAATGGGATTTTTCCATTGGATTTCCACTTGGGGTTGCATTATCGGGTTAATTCAGGTAAGTAAAATCGCAATCAATTCCCTACGTCAGATCAGGTGGATACTCAGCCTCCTGTTCATGGCAGGGATGTCCGATGGGGATTTTAGGAACTAATTTAGTTTGTAATTGACGGTTGAACGGAAACGTTGGGGACTTTCTCGTTTCTATAAGAATCCTGCTCCAGTAACCTTTTTCCTTCCCTTCTTCTCTCCATCCATTCTACTCTATACTACACCCTATTCTGCTACATCTTAGCTTGGTCTATTCCAGTCTCTGTAATAAACAGAAAGAACAACCAACCCTCAACCTTTCAACCTTTGAGCCTTGCAAACTATCCACAATGCCTTCCGTCGGATCTTCTCAGTTCCCTCCATGCCCCGGTCCTCCTCCTAAGGGCCCTCTGCCTCCGCTGCCGAAATAAACAGTCCAGTCCCCTCTTCTCAACGAACATGATGACTCTGGCGCATTCTGGTCCACCAGATCCGCCCACGACCTGGACCCTCACAATGGATATCACGACTTCGACTTCGACCTAGTTTCGGCTCTTACCTGCGATCCTTTGTTTTTCGATTCGGACTTTCAACACCTAATTTCCACCATGTCCCGCCCAAACAAAGACGCCCTTGCTTAAAGTTGGGTCTTGAGACGGACAACACAAAGTGTGTTAGCTCTTTCACCGTCCATTCACATCTCTTGGCATTTTAAGTTCAACGATGCGTCCCTAGCCACAGCTCAATGCGCGTGGTGAAAAACTTGTTTCGAATGGGCCTCGGACAATTTCTTATTTATTTTCTTTTCTTCTTTGTCCTCCCGCTCTTCAGCAACCTTACTCGTTCGCTATGGACCCAGCGCAGGCGCTACCATACCTCGACATGCATTAATAGCCTTTCTATCTCTTGCTCTTTGTCCCGCTTCAACTCTCGGCACTATGATCACGCCCTGGTCTCCTGTGGGGCTTTCCGTTTCACCTGCTCGATCATGACGCGCAGATGCGGAGAAAGGTGCAGCTCCCCAGCCGCAGCATATTAATTGGGTAATCCGAATCCGCCTACAACCCCTGTCTTGGGACATCGGATCAACTGGGTCGCTCACCTGGTCACTGATCGGGTGAACAGTGTCTTCTTTCTTTCTTTTTCCCTGTCTGCCGTTGTGACCTGTCATTCTGACTGTTTGGATGTCTTTTTAATTCTCTTTTTCTCTTTTCTCTCTTTTCTCGGTTTTTCTTATTTTCTCCTGCATCTGGCCGAATCTGAATCAACATGTATCATAGACTTAGTATACCCAACAGAGCAATTTGTCTTTTTTTATCTAAAACGTTGTATTCGATTAATTGCTTACGGTCCACACCTATGTCGTGCATAAAAAAGGCTGGGGACTGCGGGTGACACCCACCTGACCGCCCGTTTCACTAACCAGCTTCCCGCATAAATCACTAGCAATGAAGCTAGCAGGGATGTGCCGAGGGCGGGTGTCGCGGTAGTCCAATTGACGCATATTTCACTCACAAATCAATCCTACAAATACGAGCGAGTTATAATATACACGTCAATATGACTCATTATTCGGTAGACCAATTTATTCCCTCGGTATACCTGCATAGCGTATATGCACTTCTTCTATCGTAAGATTTGAAGTAGCTCCGATCTGACGCGATTCTTATGGAGCCTCCCATATTTACAGCGCATTTGCCAAATCCAGTACAATGCATGGCCTGTATGTATAATGCACATCCCGTATGTCGCCGCACAGGGATTGATTGGGTATTCCGATGTCATATTATCCCAGCTGAAACCTAGTGGTAATATCACACCATTCTATCAACCATACACTCAACACGGGGATACAACGTCCGCCAGACTACGGAGTAGGACATATCGGCAATATCCATAGCGTGTATATAATTAGCTCGTAATATCAACGGCTAAACGCTAAACAGCTGAGCGGAGAAAGAAGAATGATACGAGTTTGGCCCCGTCCGAGCGCTTCGGGGTTTGCTAGCCATTTTGGTACGTGCCCTATGGAGTGTATGTTGTGCAGGGCTGTTATGACTACAGGAAAGTGGAGGTTAGCCCATCGTTAATATTTCAAGGTACAGTAGCTCGGCCAACACGTGTTTCATACTTGCATTGTTTCTTTAAGCCAATTATCGATCGCATAGCCGAGCAGTGGTTCCAATTAAACCTGATTGTCCTTAATGTTACTGTCATTACGGAGTACTTTGGGCTACCTAGGTAGGAATGGATATGGGCGTGTCGAGATCCTTGTTAGTCGTTGGCCCGTCACTTGACCGATACAGTTGCATGTTGTCGTCATTGAAGAAACCCCGATAATCTGTGTCCAATAGATCTCGCAGATAGTGTTCCAAGGTTTCCAAGGTTCTTCCCCCGCTTCTTCCAAGGTTCCCCTCAGCCCGATACACTTTGTCTATCCGTGGTTCTCCATGACTCTTCCATACATTTGTATCAAATTGACTTTTTGTTTTATTTGTTTCGTTTTAATTGCAGTCTTGGAAGTAAGCTAGACCGTCCTAGTGAGCTCAAGTGACCAAAGTAAGCTTTCGCTCTCGGATCTTGCCCTGACAATCTCCATATTGAAGTAATGAATCATGGAGTTTTGACCTCAAGCTCCACGGGTGTCTCAGGGCCTAGGCGATGTCTGTGCTTCTGAACACCTTCCAAGGTTGGAAGCTTTCAAGGCACCAGTTGATAGGTTTGTGCCTGTCAGCCTTGGCTTGTAGAGCCACGTGCGCCAAATGAGGTCATTTTCTGGGCATATCACTCTAGTCAGGCATATGGAGTACCTAGGTAGGTACCTAGGTAGGTAATCGGAACCTCGTGATGTATAGGACCAAGGATTATTTCTTGGACAGACACCCTGCGGGAAATAGCGGTATACAAAAGATGCGTCGAGCGCTATTACTGGTTCTCAGCTTTCTGGGCTGTGCTACGAGAGGCGGTGAATATGACTATTGAGGCTCTTGATGTTCTAGATGTCCTGCTCGTATGACTGACGCCCGTTGAGCCTTGACGTCGATATCTTTTACCAGGGCTGAGTGAGACTGATGCCCGGACCTCGGGTGTACCGTACCGGGTCGAGTATGCTTGGGGGTTAAATGGAAGATATATCCGATTCGTTCTTCCGAGTGATTCGTTTTCCTTAGGTATTAGCAATCTATCCAAAACGAGATACTGTGAGCTAATTATCAATGATTTCGGTGGGATGAAATGGCGTTGCCTAGCTCGTAATCCAAGCCACATCTTGGTTTTTTTACTGACTTACAAGAAACTTGGGGTTTAGCGCGATACTTTGGTATATTTCTATTTATTTCTATTTTGACCTGGGGATGTTGAAGATGATATTTTGCCATACAACACCCATAGGAGCTATATGCAGCTATACATCGTAGTATACATGTAGCTAAATGAGAACGGACTATCTGGGGAAGAGAAAGGAGTTCTACTTTATTCTACGAGGGGCTCGTCATCCACAGACCATCTACAAATTGATTCATATGGATAAACACATTGTATTTTGTAGTCAGTAGAAGCCGAGTATCTCATATCAAGAAACCGAGGATAAGCACACGTGATTCGCCCGCCCAGATCAATCACGGCCGTTCCTTCTCCTCCAAGCGCAAAGCCACCATGGTACTACAACTGCATGTATGGGGCCCGGCCTTTGCCCTGCCCTCAATTGATGCACAATGCCTTGCTGCAATCGCATACTGCTCCGAGGTCCTCCCTAAGGACTCGTGGGAGCTGATCGCGAGTAGCGATCCCTCTGTGTCCCCAACAGGTCAGTGACGTGACCGGAACCAAAAAAAAAGCATCACCAGAGTAAGACAGCTAACGAGCCATTTACAAATAGGTGAGCTGCCTGCTCTCCAGAATGGCGCTATCTGGGTGAGCCGGTTCCGCAATATCGTCGACTATCTCCGCCAATACTCGGAGGGAGCATGGAACCTGGATCAAGACCTCGACGACGTGCAAAGAGCCGATAGCGTTGCGTACGCACCACCTACCCCTACAATGGCGGAGACACAAATGACTAACCCTCAACCCTCCATTAGCTTCTCCTCCTTCATCGAATCCCGCGGCCAGTCCCTCATCGACCTCTACCTCTACGTAACCAGCCAGAACTACTACAACAACACATCCCCAGCCTACGGCTCTCTCCTCCAATGGCCAAACCAATGGATCCTCCCACCAAAGCTTCACGGCGCCGCCAAAACCCGCACCGAACACCTCGGCCTATCCTCGCTAGACCTACAAGCAATGGAAGACCAGCGCAAACGCGAGCATTCCGCCGCGGTAGCATCCGGCCAAATCCCTAGCAACCTGATCCAGCAGCCCCGCGACACAGTCTCCAAACTCCTCGGCCGCACAGCACAAACCAACCAGTTCCGCCTGGAAGCCCTAACAGCCGACTTCTTCGAGCCGCTCGAAGCCATGCTCGCCCGAAGCAAGACCTGTCTACTCCCCGCCGACGACAACAACAACCCCTCCTCGCTGGACTGCGTCGCGCTGGGCTACCTGTCGCTGGCGCTCGTGCCCGAGCTAACCTTCCCCTGGCTGCGCGACGCGATGCGCGCCAAGGCCCCGCTGCTGGCGGCGTACACGGAGCGCATGCGCAGCCGCTGTTTCGGCGACGCGCCCGTCGAGCCTAAGCACGCTTTCCAGCCTGTGCCGGCTGCCTTGCCGTGGCGCGCACCGGAGCGCATCTCCGTCGCGGCTGTCGGAAGTACACTCCTCGGTACGCTGGCGGATAACACGCCGTTCTTGCGCGAGGTGCGTCAGAATAGGCGGTTGAAGCAGGCTGTTGAGGCGGATTCGGAGTTTAGCTCGGTGGAGAAACAGGTCCTGTCTTCGTATGCGGATTCCAGTAACAAGGATATGTTGCTGTCTGTTGCGACTGCTGTGGCGGGGACGGCTGCTCTCGTTGGATATATGGTGCATGTTGGATTGCTTTCTTTCTCGACTGGGGGTGTTGAGGAAGAGGAGGAGTTTGAGCAAGATGCCGGTGTGCTGCAGATTGATCCTGGGTCTGCGGCTGACTTCCTCGGTGCGTTCTAAGTGTTGAAAGAGGTCGCTGCGTCTGGTTCTGTGGATCTCACGAGGTCGGGGTTTTGTTTTACTATTTTGGGTGCAAGCGAAGACTGTACGATAGCATTGCGTTTTTGTTCTTTGTACTTGCGTGTTGACCTTTTTATGGTTCCTCGCCACTTCAAAACTGCAGGTCTTTGATCTGGTCCTCTACTTGAAGCATCTCCTTTGTTCTTAGCTTTATAGTCGAAGTCAAAACAACGTAATATTCCTTTGCTCACAGTGATAAAAAATCGAGACCTCGAAGAAAAACATTGGAAATATCCATCTTCGGTAGGTATCACTGCATGTATCCAGGCATTCCTTCGAAGCCCTAAATCGGAACTTCACATCTCGTATACAGCCACTGGAATTCTCGAGCCTACCCAATATTGCCATCGTTATCACTTAGTATTGAACCGGAAGATTTAACATTTCAGATTGCATCAGTCAATATGCCCTTGACGAAAACATACGTGGATGGTTAGTTTAGCCTCATGCAAGACATACAAGATAGTGCTCAAGGATCATGCACGTCAGGTTTGGGTTTGGCTAGACCCGACGATGGACAAGGGTTCGTTTCAAGTTTATGACGAACAGGCGTTGGCACTAATGATCCTGCGAGATTGACCAGACAGGAACGAGTGGACGAATGCTATATTTAGATGCCCGCAGGTATCGGCGCTTAATGGCCATTAAATACAATAAGGTGAATATGTATAGTAAGTAGTTCTAGACGAAAGGAAAAAGGAAATGTTATCAACTCTCAAATCAGATGGTTCAGATGGTATATGTACAGAGAAAAGGACAAAAGGAGGCAAATCATGACCACAAAGATATGTATGAACCCTTGGCGGAAAAAAGGGGTATCCGTCGAAGAGCCGCTCGAAGATGGATGTGTGGCCAGGATGGTTGCTGGAGCAAGCGACCTGCGCACGCACACATCAAATCAGGGAAAGATACAAAGACACCTTCGGCATTGAACAATTTGCGCAAGGAAGACAAAATCTCAGTAGAGAAGAGAAGATTGTTGGATATGGGAAGAGCTTAAAAAAAAAAAGGTGGCGTGGCCATTTAAGAGGACCAGCCCAGGTTGACGACGAGGCGGACGGGGCCAGGGCCCTGGGAAACGGCCTTGTCGGGCTTGCCCTGGTCGGCGGCGGTGTAGGCGTTGACAACGCTGGTGGCACCGTTGGTGATGGAGGAGCACTTTCCACCCTCGTGGTTGCAGATCTGCATACCAGCAATGTCCAGGTTGGCGAGCTCAGCGATGATGCAGGAGACATCCCAGCCGGAGAAGCCGTCGTTCTGGGAGTTGCTCATGTCGAACTCACCCCAGGTGGAGGCGTACTGGCCGACGAAGTTGGTAGGGAGACCTTCGCCCTCGGAGGCACCCCAACCACCCTGGGAGTCATCATCGATGGCAACGAAGATGCTGTGGCCAGGCTCGACGGTGAAGCTCAGAGCACTGTTGGGGGCCCAGAAACCGTTCAGACCGCCGCTGGGGCCGTACGAGTTCCACATGACGACGGTCCAGGCCTTGGAGTTGTCGTTCTCGAAGCGGATAACGTGCTTGTACTCGCTGGCGGCATCCTCTTCGACACGGATCATGTTGCTACCCCAGGGGTTGCCGACGTTACCGATGTAGTCCCAGTCGAGGGCGCCAACGCGCTTGCTGGCAGTGGAGGAACCGAATCCGCTGGTGGAGTACTGGCCGTTGGAGGGGTAGCTGGCCCAGTTGCTGGAACCAGAGGAGCTGGAGCTGGAGGGAACAGGGGTGGGGCTGACGGTCGAGATGGCCTCAGCCTCGCTGGTGGCCTCGGCGGTGGGAGTGGCAGTGGAGGTGGGAGCAACGGTAGACTCGGCGGCTTCAGCGGCCTCGGAGGAGGCCTCGGAGGTCTGCTCACCGAACCAGTCGTTGATCCAGGAGACGAGCTTGCCGTCGATGGTAGCGAAAACCTCTTCACCACGCTTCTCGACATCGACAACCTCGGGGGCCGCAGTCACAACGGGGTTGGATTCGATGTTGACGTCTCTGGGGTGGGCGTGACGGCGCTCGTGGCCGTGAAGACGAGCGACAGCCGACCCAGCGGTCAGCGCCGTCATCAACAGCATAGAGTTGGAGAAATGCATTTTGTGGAATTGAATAACTTGAAAAGGAGTGACTTGAGCGAATGCTCTAGGAGAAGAAAATTCAATTCAAATGAATGTGTGTGGGAGTGAAGAAAGAAGAAGAGAAGAAAGTGGACTAGGGGGGACTATTAGTACAATACCAAGTTACACACCAACGGGTCAGCCTGGACCTGAACTCAAAAATCAAAGGGCTCCAGAATATCAGGGGTACTCGATTGATGATTGGCTGGTTCCTGGCGGTTTCTGGCCGTGCGCATTTTTTGGTCTGTTTGATTGGTTGGCTGTCAAGGGCCCAGACTCTGTACTCTTGGTACTGTGTACTTGGCTATACTATGCCTCTCATCGCGGCTGTGCAGGTACTCGTTACTTTGGATAAGGGGTTGTCTCTCCTATTTAGTATTGTTATTCTTATATCATTCTCTATATTATACGATGTTCTAATATTATGACTCCTATTATTGGGATTCATATTGTTCTACTATTCTACGGGGTGTAGTTGCCTAATGTCAAACACGTGTGCGATCGGAATGCTGGATACCTCGAAGATGTGGACGAGAACTGCATTGGAGCCCAACGTTGATACCTCTTATGAACGTTGATATGGCAAACCTTGGATTATTTCTTTTCTGTATATTGTACAGTATAATACACGGAATACGTACAACATAGACAACTCCTATCCCCGTCATCCTGGATTCCCCACATAAACCAATCGGCGAAGTGCGCAGTAAGGATCTAAACTGTCTTACGAATCAAGGCAATCTTAAATGGGGACAAGTCATCACCGCATCGTACAACTACGTGGACAATGGTCAACGAACGCCTTATAACCATGTCCCTACCCAACTCATTCTTACAAACTACATTAGATACAGTCCCTGTTACAATTAATAACGATTGTCCTCGACCTGTCAATCGTATCCACGGATGTGCACATAAAAAGGCGAATTTCTACCGTTGATCTGCGGCCAGACCCCCTTCGCGGCCGATGGATCCTCGATATTTTTCTGTAAGGCACACCCTTTTTGTCCATTCACTGGTAGCGTCGAAGCCATTCCCCACACACATGACGAGTCTCGCTCCTGATTGTCCCCATCATGGCACAAAACTGGCCCCTCGGGAATCTAGGCCTTCCAACTCGGCAAACTGGGGCTGAAAAATTGCCCGTGAAGCGGTTTCATGTGTTGAGTCTCATTGAAACTTTAAGCGCGCTTGGCTTTTCGAAGGCTCCATATTGTGCATGGAGTTCATCACACCACATCGTATATGTATTGTATCCTCGGTATGAACGGTATACGGAGTATATTTGTTGCCACAAGCGTTTCCTGAAACACTAGGGCTATTCGTGCAGGAACCCGTCCCTGGCAGATTCCTCACTCGATGCAGGTACCCACGATTCTTGAATACATTCTTTCACCTCTCTAGAAATTTTAAACCCTCTTTTAGAGTACCGAATGTATGGTAGAAAAATTGTAGAAAAAATTGGGCCGTAAATAAACAGAACCAAGGTCGACATTGGAGGATCCTCGGTTCGGTCGATCTGCGATTTGTCTCATTGGCTGTGGGAAATTAAATCTGCCTGTCAATCCCCCCTAACCATAGAAGAAAACCACATGGCTCAATACATTTCAATGGTAAATGTAATTAGGACCCTGATAATCCGACTCTTTAAAGAATCAACTAACAATGAATATGGCTGGATGAGGAAATGAACCATACTGGTGGAGACGATGCTACATATTTATCAGACCGATATTCCAAAGTGGAAGTTGCCAGTGCGTCCATACAAAACTCGACATTTGACAAATATACACCGTAGAGGCATACAATGTGCCCGTACCGGGTATAGCAGGTGGCGGGATTCCGTTCATTTCTCTTCCAAATCCACACCACCTTCAAACGCCACACCGCCAGCAGCCGCATCCAACTTAAGGCTATCATCCAGCCCGCATACCCTGAACAACATCTGAGGTGTTACCTCTTTATCGAGACCAGGCAAGCCATCACGCTTCAATTTCTCCAGCCCCTCCCGCATAGCCAGGAGAGCCGGGCCCAGAGTCGCAAATGGGAAGATGATAACACGGAACCCAATCTCCTTCGCCTCCTTCGCAGAAATCGAAGGCGTGGACCCATGCTCCACCATATTCAATAGCAAAGGCCACGGCGCAAGGTCGGCGACAACCCGGCGAGCCATTTCCCGTGACGAAATGCCCTCCAAGAACCCAACGTCCGCGCCCGCATCCCTCGCCGCCCGCAGCCGCGCCAAACTCTCTTCATAGCCGTGCTGCTGCAGCGAGTCCGTCCGCGCAATGATCACGATATCACTACCGATGCGTTCACGCGCTTGAACAGCCGCCCGGATGCGACTGGTGTAGGTTGCTGTGTCGACGAGTTGCTTCCCGGAGAGATGTCCGCACCGCTTGGTCTGTACCTGATCCTCGATGTGGAAGGCCGCTACGCCGGACCGGGCGTATTGCTCTGTTGTGCGGGCTACCATGATCGGCCCGCCGTAGCCGGTGTCGGCGTCGGCGATCAGCGGTGTGCGCGGTGAGAGGTTTGCTAGCATCTCCGCGTTCGCTCGCATATCATTCAGCGTGCAGATTCCGAGGTCCGCTTGACCATGCACCGAGGCTGCGGTTCCGGCGCCTGTCTGGTTGATGGTGTCAGCTCGGGAGTTTGACGGGGACGCCTTGGTCATCTCGCACTGCGTACCATGTATAGTGCATCGAAGCCTGCTGCCAGTGCTAGTCGTGCGGACATTCCGTCATAGACTCCTGGGGCTGTGATGAATACCTGGGGATCCTGCAGAGATCGCCGCAGGCTGGTTGCTGCCGATGGAAGAGCCATTATTGTTGTCTTATGCTGAACAGAAATAGCCGTGACTTGCCGGAGCTAATCTGATATGTGTATAGCTATTGTCCAGGTGGAAACACGGGGCTGATATATGTTCACCTCAGAAAATGAGCCGCGCGAATAGCTTTTTCTCCGGTGGTAGGTCCTTTTTTTTAAAACATTGTCATCCACGTGTGGGACAAGCCTTTGGCCATCATTTCCCCACCAGTGAGCTCTTTCGAGCAATTACAGTCCCTCGATGATGCGCACTCTCCACTTAACCAGAGCCACGGTGCCGATACCGCTTCCTTAAGCCCCGGGGCCATCGCCTTTACAACATATGTCAACATTCCAAGGCATCTGGAACTCAAACAACACGGCTATATTGGATACGCAGGGCTATTATGAGCTTCGGCAATTCAAGCGGGGTACTTGGCTGGATAGTAGTTTTCGATGTATTGCTATAAGTGCCATATAGTGTGTAGCAGTAGTGATATATCTCAACATAGAGACTCTTCTTTTTTTTTCCGTTTCAACTAAATACCTCCTTTGCTCTTTCCTGTTTTCTCCGTTCTTTCCTCTTTCTCCGTTCTATACAGGGAATATGCATGATGGCCGGGCCGCCCACAGATCTGCTTAGTCAGGAACCTCCTCCAGTCTCATCTCGAATCCCATTCATCCCATCTAAAATGAACGTCTCGGCGCTAATTCATTGATTCCCGGTCGTTTACCAAACAACTGCCTCGATGGCGCGTTCATCCATCGTTCAAGAATATGCGTCACCCTCCACCCCGACCGCCACCATCGACCACAAGTCCGCCGCCGAGCTTCAGAACTTACGAGTAGCTCGTCCACAAGGCTACCGGGTATCATGGCACGCCAATCCAGCCGTTGAGCCCCACCACTTTGGCCAGTCACATCCAATGAAGCCATGGCGCCTCACGCTCACTAAACAACTCGTCATGGCGTACGGCATGCACCACGCCATGGACCTGTATCTCGCGCGCGCAGCGACCTATGAGGAAATGGCCGACTTCCACGATACAGACTACCTCGACTTCCTGCAACAGATCATGCCCGGCGACATAGACCGACCCGAGCAAGCAGATAACGTGGTACGCTTCAACTTCGGCGACGACTGCCCCATCTTCGACGGTCTGTACAGCTACTGCTCGCTCTACGCCGGCGGCACCGTCGACGCCGCGCGCAAGCTCTGCAACGACCAATCCGACATCGCAATCAACTGGTCCGGCGGCCTCCACCACGCCAAAAAGGCCGAAGCCAGCGGCTTCTGCTACGTCAATGACATCGTCCTGGGCACCCTCCAGCTCCTCCGCCACCACCCCCGCGTCATGTACATCGACATCGACGTACACCACGGCGACGGCGTCGAGCAAGCCTTCTGGTCAACCGACCGCGTGCTGACAGTCTCCTTCCACAAATACGACAAAGACAACTTCTTCCCGGGCACTGGTGCACGCGAAGACACAGGTCCCGCACACCCACTCAACCCAGGAGCCCACCACGCCATCAACGTCCCGCTCAACGACGGCATCGACGACGAGTCCTACATCGCGCTCTTCAAAGAGGTCATCGGCGCATGCACCAGGACCTATCAACCAGGCGCAATCGTCCTGCAATGCGGCGCAGACAGTCTGGGCTGCGACAGGCTCGGCTGCTTCAACCTGAACGTGCGCGCGCACGGCGCCTGCGTCGCATACACTAAGACCTTCGGACTACCTCTGCTTGTCGTTGGCGGTGGTGGCTACACACCGCGCAACGTCTCCCGCGCGTGGGCGCACGAGACCTCGATCCTGCTCGACGCAGAAGACGTGATCAACCCCACCATCCCGGACTCTGTCGCCTTCCGAAACCACTTCGGTCCTGATTTCTCGCTCTTCCCGCCCCTGTCGGAGATGCGCAAGCTTGAAAATAAGAATACTCGCGCGTACCTTGAGGGCCTTGTAGAGGCTGTCCATGAGCAGCTGAGGTATATCAAAGGCGCGCCTAGTGTTCAAATGAGCTTCATCCCGCCAGATATACTGGGTCTACGTGAGGATACTGAGAAGGAGATCGAGGAGCAGACGCTTATGACTGAGGAGGAGAGGGAGGAGTATGAGGGTGGTGGGTCGGTGAGTGCTGCGGCCGCCGCGACGGCTGGTTCTGGCTCGGCCTATACTGGCTCTGCTGGTGGTATCTCGCGGCCTAATCGGCGGCGGGATCTGGAGCGCGGGGCTGGATACAGGGGAGAGCTGTATTCATGAGCTTTGTGCAGCTTGCAATGGTAAGTCTCAGGAGTAAAGAATGGTTTGACGCGGCGTTTTGTATGTATTCGGACAGCGGAGGGGAGTTTTGGTTGTCTTTGGTAATATTTGGTGGCATAGGTTGTCATCTATCGTGATATCCCTCTCTTCTAGGAGAGCCTTGTATAGTAATTGACAGAAGACAGAGAATTAATTGTTCAAAAGTCAGTACAGACCAAGAGTGAGTGTAAACGGAGAAATCTATCAGGAAGTCCAAAATACCAGGCCCCAAGTGTATAAATTCAGAGAACACTTTCCAACTTCTTTCATACTTTTTATTGTTCATGTCTTATTTACCCTGCATTAAACCTCACTACATACAGTTCCACCTCCCATTTAAGGATGTGCTCCATTCCAGTTGAAATTTCAGAAAAAGTATTTTGAGAATTTTGAATTAAATAAAATCAGATCGGGTATCCAGCAATGGGAGCGGCACAATGACCGAGAAAAACGCTGTGTTGAAACATCAGAGGGGCAGGGGAAACTATCACAATGGGTCGTGTCGTCGGCCGCCTCGAGTTATGGCTGTGCTGGGTATTTCTGCGCAGGTTGACTACGTCATGGCAGAATGAGAGATGATACGGAAGTGCAATAACACTCCGTGATCATTCAGTCAGGGATGAGAGAAAAGGCGACCTGAGCAACCGAACCGGGTTTCGGATTAGGTGACAGCATGGATGGGGTTCGGAGGTGGACGCAATGGGGCTTTTTCGTGCTTATGAGGTTTCCTGGGCGTCTACAAACTTCTCCGCTTCTGATGTTTGAGTATCTTTCCGTTCCACGGTGCTCTGGGTGGCATCTGATTTTGTCTCGGAGTCTGCGGGGTGCGGCATTAGCTGGTTGTGGCGGGATATGCCTGGGATCCTAGTTCGCGGATGCGGAATGATTGGGGTGATGCGGCGGGATTTGAAACTGGGATGACTCCTTCTGACCTTGGAGGATGGGGACGATTGATAGGATCTGCTTGGTGGCGGCTTGGGGATCGTGCATGTCGCTGGGACTGTTAGTTATAGTCACTTAGCATTCGAGGGATCGTTCTTACACTTGAGCGTTGATGATCCAGTCGAGGTCTTCTTCGCCCTCATCTGGCCCACCTGGTCCGCCTTGGACGGGACGGAAAAGCCGAGGATGCCATTCGACTCCTTCATCGGCGCGCTTCGCGGCCTCGTCTCGTTGGCGGTCTTCGATCTTGGTCTTTTCGTCCGTTGCAGCTTCATGGTTCCGGGCCAAAAGCGCTTGAACCGTATTGTGCCATAACCGCTGCGATTCCCGCTCTCCTTGCTCCTCCATGGGTCGGACCAAAGGAGGTGAATGCTTTGCGTGTGTCGCATCAAACAAGACGTCTTTTTTGTGGGTCTGTTCTCGGTCAGCGTTGAATCTGGAAGTAAGCTTGGGAAGTATGCGGAGCGTACATGAACATCCTTCAAGTCCATTTCCCCATTCCACAATCCGGAGAGTTCATATAACACCTCCCCAGTCTGTTCATTTTTGATAGTTCCCCCAATTGCGTTATAAGTACCGGAGAAATATCCCTTGGTCTTGAACTCGATATCGGCCACGAGGTGGTTCTCGGGACAACGGACGTAGCTGTGATCGCCAAGCTCATACTTCATCTTTCCGAAAAGAATGCCGCGCGCATACATATTGGGTTGGGTCAGAATACTAGTTTTCGTCAGTGATCAGTGATTACCTTTCATCGGAACCGGCGCAACATACTATCTTTCACCCTTTTCTTTATCCCCGTGGTTCATCAGCCGCAAAATGGCGATACCTTCCATAATACTGGCTGCGGAGTTGCCCAAAAACTTGCTGCGGGGCTTGAGTGTTCCATCAATGCGAATTTTATGCTCCGGCGCTGCAAAGAAATAGCTCGACTTCGGCGGATGGTGGGAGGTCTGTTCGGAGATGTAGTAGGCGCGGGTTCCGTCGGGATAGTCCCAGTAGCAGGTGAAGGTCTCTCCAAGAATGGGGTTAAGCGGCTTCTTCACTCCTCTATGCAGGGTATCAGATTGTGCTCCTAGGCAGACAGCAAGCGGGCGACTTACGGTGGTTTGATGTGCCATCCACTCAGGTAAAATTTGACCACGGAGACAAAGCGCTCGACCGGGTCCTCAATCTCTGACATAGGAAGAAGAGTTTCAGGATGGGCCATGAAGCTATGGAAACACTTGTGTTAGTCGGAATACTCCAAGTCTTAGCAGCTAGCTCCAAGCTGCCCACTTGGAGCTGGGATGTAAACGCACTTGGTGATCCGCTCCAGCATAGACCGGGGCTCGAGGATGAATGTCGGCAAGACGACCCGACTCAGGTCGGCACCGGGCCGCAGCTGAGAAATGATATGCGAAAGTACTATGAAGACATATCACGTCAGTAGTGTATCCGGAGTTCTTGAGGGTTTTCCACGCACCATTTCCCTGGTCTGGCTCAACAAGCTCATCCTCCCCACTTGGCGGGGAATCTTCCATTGACGATCTGCCTGGATCTGCGTTAGTTGACATGTTGATATTGTTGTATGACAGGATAAAAAGCGAGAGGGGAAGACAAACTCACTGGCCTGGGAAGCACGGCGGAGATGCGGGACCGGCATGACTGCGTTCGGAAATGAATTATACGGGAATTCCTAAGCTAACATTTATGTTGCAAATAAAAAAAGAAGAAGAAATAAAAAATATAAATAAATAAATAGAAAAGGCAGCTCTGACTCGTGGCGGAAATTCCGGAAACGGGCTTTTTTTTACTATGGAGAAAGTGGAAAAAAAAAAGAAAACGAATTTGTGTAGTTCAAGGGAGAAAAAAAAAATTAACAACACACTAAAAAAGACACTAAAAATATATAAAAAAAACTATTTCGACATGCAAATTACTGTAAATGCTTAGCTTCAGGGAGGGGCAAGTGACGTATTTTTCTTGGGATCAGTTTATTTCACTACTAGCTTACCTATGTACTTAAATATGTATATAGGCAGTAGGTATGTCGATATCTACATATGTATGTCCCTCCGACACCTCCTAGACATCCAAGATGTCCAAAAAATATAGCTCTCTTTCTATATTCCATTCAACCTTCTCAAAGATCGTCAATGAGGGGAACGGCTTGGCGGGGAACTGAATAAATACCATCTCCGTATTCGTATACTCTGTAGACTGGCTAAAAATGCTGCCTAACTATATAAGATCAGGCAAAAGGAGAATCTTTCCTATTTATTGCTTTCCCTCTCTATTTTCAATCCAATCATGCAAACACAATCACAATTGTTCGATCAGTGGTACATCTCCACGGGTGATCTCCCTAACGAATGCCATATCGGGACGATGCAGCATGACGTGGAAGTGTTCTATCCCGGGCACCGACTTGAGGGACTTCCAGTTCTTGAACCAGACCACCTACATATATATGTTGTCAGCTTTTCATCATACGCTGACTAAATATTTTTAATCTCCTTTATCTTACCTGTTCAGATGGTACCCGAGAGCAAAATGTGTCCTGCACATAGCTCTCTATAGCCCCTCGTGCACTTGCCGTGAGGTCATCTGTGGTTGGGTCATCTTCCAGCTCGAACTTGGTCCACACTACCAGGTGGATGATGTCCTTATCAACACCATAGGGCCAGTCGTTGTATACGATTCGGATGTCCTCTATAAAGTGATTAGTCTTTCACGTGTTCTAGACCCAACCCGGTGACATGTACCCTCGTATTCAAAAGGACCGCCTCTGGGCTTGACGTCTTCCCAATTGTCCCCCCCCAGCCCAGCCTTTCTTTGACCACAAACCTCATGACGGATATATACTCCGCTTTGATGTGGGCCATGTATTCCAGATACTTGCGCAGCTCGCTTGGAACGCGCTGGAACCGATCGATCCGGTTGGTTCCTGTTTACAAGTAGTCGGTCAGTTGGGTATATATCATTAATCGACAAGCAGATCTACTCAACCTGTGATCTCCTTCACTTGTTCCCAGGTCTGTCGGGTATACAGGTGATCAGGGGTCGAAAGGGTTTTGATATTCTTTGCAGATTGATCACGTAGAAAGCTAGGACATTCGGCGGTCCATTGCGACCGAGGTAAATTGACGAGCCAATATGGGAGGGTTTCAGAGGGTAGACTTTGATCGTGGAAGTGTAGGGCCGCATTGGCATTGGCGTCGGCATCGGTCGATTTCTTGTCAAGGGCGCTGATTGGGACGGGCATTGATGGCCGCCTAGAGTGCAGCATCGTGAGTAGATTGAGTTCCGGACCGATCTAGTTCGGTCGGTAGTAAAATGTAATATCTATGTTCGAGTGTTGGGCACGGAGTAGTGAATATCCCTTTTTGACCCGACGTCACTCTGCAGTAGTGTGGAAAGGGGTATGAAGTCGCGACGGTTCTGGCAGTTGCTTGTCGATCACCGTACCCACTGGCGATCTATTTTTATACTGAATATCATTCCGTACTCTGTAGGAAATTGTTTTAAACGTACATATCAAGCGTTGGGAGCTCATGTGGTTTGTTTTCTTTTTTAAACGACAGACTGTGGAATTGAAAAGTACCATCACACAGGGTATACATTCAAATGTTGTAACACATCCACGTGAAAAATACATTACCTTCATCTACAGCACTATCACAACACCTACACAACAGATAAAGCACAAGATTTAGGGCCGCTCAGCGTGAAACTTGAATCCGTATTCAACACACAGGGCTTAGAGAAATGAACACCTGTAAGGGAAGGGATGCATGGATGAGAAGGAATAAGGATCAGCTCTTTCCTTATAGATCCCTGACAATAGGGTCATTCATAGAGATAATAGACACTCCTGCAGTCTCAAGCTCCTCCTTAACGGCATCCCAATCAGCAGGTACGACACACTTGGTTCCTTCCTCGATAACCCAGCTTTTGAATCCAACCTTGAGAGCATCAAGAGCCGTAGCCTTAACGCAATAATCCCCGGCCAAGCCCACAACAAACACATCTGTGATGCCTTGATCCTTGAGAACCGCGGCAACATCTAGGCTGACCGAATGTGCGTTGGTCCCATGATCACAGTTTCCAAAAGCATCCGCAAACACCGAGTACATCTCGATTCCAGGGCGCATGCCTTTCTGAACAACTAGATGTTCGCTAGAGGTTTCAACCTCTCGGATAATCTCTGCGCCGGGGGTACCAGCCACACAGTGGACGGGCCAGAGTTGCTGTGGTTTTGTTTCTGATTCCTTTCCCGGAGCGGGATTTTTCATCGTGACGAATGAAGTGAAGGGCTGGTTATCAGGCCCTGGATGATTGCTGGCAAATGAGATATGGTCCTTTGGATGGTAGTCTTGGGTCATGATGCGCACGACAAATCCTGGCTTTGCAAGTAAAGTGTTGATTATCGAAGCAATGCCACGGCCTCCTGCCACGGCGAGTGACCCATGCTAAGATATTCATTAGCATACGTGGCCTTCTATTTTATCTATCCAACTTACTGGAGGGCAGAAATCTTCTTGCATGTCCACCACAATTAGGGCTGGCCTGATAGTACGATTTGTTGCCATTTTTGAGTTGGAAAGATATGGGGGTAGAGAGCTGATGGAGATTATGGACAAAATTATGGAGTATAAAAGGTCTGGAAATGGTAGGTTTGATTGTTACCCTATGAGTAAAAGAAAGGACAGAGGTCTTATAGGATATAGATGTTTAAAAATGACGATGTGCACCTGTAACATCACAATAACCTCAGTGATATTTGTCTGGCAGAATATGACTTCAACCCAAGCGGAATAACAAGCGGTATAACTCCATGACTAATCCAGGGCACTCAAAACGAAGCTTTTCAACTTTCACCAAACTTGCTCTTCTCTCCTCTCTCCCAGGGCTACGGCCCCATAATTATTTGAACTGGAATGATTTGAACTGGATAATGAGTGATAACTGCAAGGTATGTGTGTTGTGTCACCTTCTCCTCCCCACAACCTGATGAATACTTTATTGGAGCTGTCTGAGCTTTTGCTATGCGGATAAATTCATATACGCTTTTTTTCTGAAATCGTGTTTTTACATCTTCATGTCACAAAAGACCATTTCAAATCAGTCGCTAACTGCCTCTGATAGTCAACAGAATATTGTAAACTCAAGAAACCCCCATGATCATCGACTCCCAAATACCTAGAAAGAACAACCCCTTAGTCTCTCTCTCTCTATTATCATTTCCATAGTCTCCCCTTCAAAATGGCATATGATCCCCGCCGAACAAACTCGGGGACCTCAACTCCCCAACCTCCCCCTCCCCCTCCACCACCACCAGAGACATCCACACAAGCCGACATGGCCTCAACAACCCAAGCCCTAGAAACAGCCAACCCGGCCAACGCAGCCACAGACTCGTACAAGCTCAAGTTCTGCACCGTCTGCGCCTCAAACAACAACCGCTCAATGGAAGCTCACCTCCAGCTCTCAGGCGCCCCAACAGCCTTCCCCGTGATATCCTTCGGCACAGGCTCCCTCGTCCGTCTCCCCGCCCATCAATCACCCAACCAAACGTGTACAGTTTCAACACAACCTCCTACAACCAAATGTACGAAGAGCTCTCCGGCAAAGACGAACGTCTATACCGCAGCAACGGCATCCTGAACATGCTCGACCGCAACCGCCAGCTGAAGTGGGGTCCCGAGCGGTTCCAGGACTGGGTGCCTGGCGTCCCGCGCGTCGACCACCTCTCCAAGGGTGACAAGGGTGCCGTCGGGACAGAAGGTGGTGTCGTGGATATCATCATCACCTGCGAGGAGCGCTGCTGGGATGCTGTTGTCGATGACCTGATGAATAAGGGCACTGCGCTCAATTACCCCGTTCATGTCTTCAACGTCGATATCAAGGATAACCATGAGGAGGCCTTGACTGGTGGAAAGGCGATTCTTGATCTGGCCAATCGTCTGAATGAGGCTGCTGTTGCTGAGCATCGTATTCATGGGTCCGAGGGCTGGGAAAATGGGACTGGTCCTGCGCGCCAGAGCTTCGATGAGAAGGTCCCTGAGATCTTGGCGGATTGGCAAGAAAAATATCCCAATTTGCCGGCTCTGTGGACGTTGGCTTGGCTTTAGTTCCCTGAATATGTTGCCATCTTCGTATGGATATCTATTTACCTACAGCCATTCTAAGAGAATGGTTTGAAACCAATGATTTGCAGGTTCCATGTTATCCAAATGAATTGTTTTTAGCGGGTGTGGTCAAATATCGCATGATTTAATGGATGTTATACAACTAGAAAAGGGTATCGAGCAAGAAGAATAGCAACAAAAGCAAAACCACTCAAAGACCCGGACTCTCCTCCTTGGGGCCCTTCTCATCTTTTATCCATTCATCTTTAACATCCATATCCTCCTTGGGGGAATGTTCGTCTTCGATCAACTCCTCTTTAGGACTGTTCTGATCTGAAGAAAGTAATATCTCTCTCCTCTCTCGATACCACTGGTCGAGACAAGCTCTCCGCTGCGCCTGGGTCATGCCCTCAACAACAAGCGCAAACTCCGTAGCATCGGCGTATCCAAATCGCCGCGCCATACTACAGAATTGGCGACGTATGACATCCTCCGGCGGATGATATTTGAACCGCAAAAGTTCCCCCGCCGGCTGAGAGAAATGCTGCGAGGACATGAAGACCTGACGGTCACCTGTCGTGTCATTTGAAGCCAGTTCAGCCCGACGACTGAGATCTTCCTCGACACGTGAGGAACCGATCACTTCATTGTTGAGGTGGGTGTATTCCACGCCTGCGCCTGCGAGAATTGCTTGAACAGGGTCGTGTTTATGCGGTGTTGGAAGACTGACTGAAAGCTTGTGGTCTTTCTCGTCATCGTCGCCGCAGATCATCGCCGCGAGTTGGCTCATTGCCTCGTCTTCAGATTTCATAGGTCGGTCGGTGTAGTCGTGGCCTTCTTCTGCTTTGAGATCTATGTCGACCACCTGTACCCCCGCACGGCTTTCAGCGACATTTGTTCTGTTGACGATGCCGCGCAGAACGATGTTCGTGTTCTGATACCCGAAGAAATTTTTCAGACCAAAGATCTCCCCCTTTTTGTCTTTCTTTTCTTGGACGCCTTTGAAATACCGACGCTCGGAACTTGCGTTGTACCCAATGTTTGCCTGTTGCTGCTTGTAGATCTGTCGAGCGTAGACGATTTCTTCGATCGTGCCGGCAGAAATCAGCCGGAAGACTTCCACGTCGCGAAGTTGTCCTACGCGGTAGGCCCGGTCCTGGGCCTGCAAGTCGTAGGAGGGGTTCCAGTTCGGATCAACGACTACCACTTTGTTTGCCGAGGTGATGTTCAAGCCAACGCCACCAGCCTTTGTTGATATTAGGAAAACAAACTGGCGGGAGTCGGCATTGAACTCGTCCACAGCTTTTGCACGGTCTTGTAAACTCATAGATCCATCCAGGTAGCTGACGTTGTAGCTAGTGTGATGGAACAGCATTTGCAGCATCTTGAGAAGACGCACGCTATGCGAGAAGATAAGAACTTTGTCTCCATTCGAATGCCACCATTTAAGTAACTTCCGCAGAACCTTCCACTTGCCGCAAAACTCAGGGTTCGCATAGTTGACGATCGAGTCACGCGAGCGGTAAAGATCTTCCCATTGCTCAGGCAGCGCAAGTTCCAGATAGTCTCTATCTTTTTCCTGCTTCTCTTTTGGGTCTATTCCTTGTGGGATCAGGATTGCCAAATGATTGCTGAGCTTTTGAAGCACATTGATAGCAGGGAACACATAGGATTGCCAGTTTGGAGGGTCCCTATCGGGGATAAACTGGCGACAACACCAGCCGGCCTTCTTGCCCGATTTACATTCGCATGGTTCTGTAGATGTCTTGATATAATCGACAATGTCACTGTCAAGGAAATTCTCATAGGCCTCGGCTTGTGTCTCAGTCAGAGGACAGAAGACAACCCGATCGATCTTTTTGGGCAGCTGATCCGCGATCAAGGTCTTCATCCTCCTGATGAAAAATTGTGGAAGTAAGTTCTCAACCAGCTTCTTGGCTGTTCTTCGTGCTCTGCTGAGCTCGCTCAGGGTGGCATCGTGTGATTGTCCGATCTTCAGTGGTTCCGATATTTGTGCCTTCCAGGCGCTTAGCGGACCCAGAACACCGGGGTTGGTCCAGTTGAGAAGTGTCCATAATTCTTCATATTTGTTCTGGATGGCCGTGCCAGTGAGGCCTATCCGACATAAGGCATTGATCTCGTTCATAGATTGTGTGGTCCCGGACTTGCGCTCCTTGATCTTGTGACATTCGTCTGCGATCACGCAGTCCCATTCGATCATATTGACAGCGTTTTTGTTGTTCATATAAGTGGTGTAGGTTGTAATCAGGACCTCCACCCTCCCTGACTTCGCGGCATCGAGGGCAAGGTCCTTGTTCTCCCCGTGGTAGCTATCAACGTGCCACCACCCCCAGCACGCAAACTCGGCCTTCCAGTTTGCTATAACGCTCCCCGGGCACACGATGAGCGTGCGTGGATACCACGCGCTGTCATCAGATCTGCGCATCTTTCGCATGCGCTTTGCATCCCGTTCATCCCCTGTCTTTCCATAGGCGGCGGTCAAGAATGCAATCACCTGGATAGTTTTTCCGAGACCCATGTCGTCTCCTAGGACACCACCCTTCTGATACACAAACAACTCGTGGAGGAACGCGACTCCCTCTACTTGATACTGCCGCAACCACTGGGCGATCGGGGCGGGAATAATGCCCATCGAATATGGAAGTTCGATATCCTTGTATTCCTGCTTTCGAGTGTTCGCTGGAAAGACAGGTCGTTCTTGAAGTTCTTCAAGTCGTTCGTCATCCGAGAACTCCACATCCTCGTAGGTCGGTGGCAGCTTCAGCCCATGATCTTTTAGACGATCATACTTCCGGTCAAATTGACTGCGGCGGGTCTTGAGATATCCAGGTAACGCATCTTCCATTAGCTCATCCTCCGAAGATACATCGCCCCATTGTTTCAACGGCCGCTTGGGTTGAGGCGTTGGTCGCTCTTTTTTAACTCGACCAACGATTGGATCTCCCCTGGGCATTTTGGCCTTGCGGGTTGCTGCGGCATCTTGCTTGCGCTTGAGGGTTTTGCGTTCCTTGAACTTCTTGTATGCGAGCTCGCCATCGTTGGCATCCTCCTCCTCGCTGTCCACGGGCTGGATCTTTACCGCACTTGATGATCCGGAAAGAAGAGTACGTGGGGACTCGCGCTTAACCGGGGTAGCAGCCCCATGTTTTACACCGGAAACCCTATCTAGAGAGGATGTGAGCTATCAGTCAAACGCGTCGGAGAGGTGTCATACTGCTAGTGGTCGGAGCCGCATAATGCGTCACCTCCAGGTCGTCATCATCTGAATCGATGGTGATAGCCACATTATTGTTCTCGATATCAGCCATGTTCCCTGCATTTCTGAAAACAGAGCTCACAGAGTGACAGAGCGCAAGTCGAAGTGGGAGTACCAGACTGTCGCGACACAGCCTCCTCTGCGGTAGGCGATAACGGCCACGAAACGAAATTGAATCTGTTCGCTCAAGATAACTTCAATTGAATCTTCTTTGACAAATTTTTATTGCGACGTTTTGTTTTACGTATAAGTAAGAGTTGAGTCTCTGCTGATATCTCCTGAGTGCTCAAAGTAGTGGTTGAAATCGTTCTTTCTGCATTTATAGAGTTGTCCTATCGGGTCACGTGCAAGTGAACCGGAAAAAAAGATGCTCTCATTGGTTTGGCATTCGATTCTTTACATATGCGATATAGCCAAGGTAAGTCCAGAAACAATATTCGACCTCTGTCATTGCTCAATCAAGAGACACCTGACTGACCTAATCCCACAGAGGACACGAAATAAAGCTTGACTTCCTGTTTGACATACCCTCTTTTTCCTCAAGTCAACTCTCGTTCTTATCAGAGCTCAACCCGCAAAGATGCCGCTGGATACCTCGACGACATATCCCCTGACGCGGCTGCGTCTTGACGGCCGCCGCTGGAATGAACTCCGCCTGCTCCAAGCCCAGATCTCAACCAACCCCGCTAGCTCCGGCTCTTCATATCTGTCCATGGGCAACACATCAATCATGTGCTCCGTCCACGGCCCTGCCGAGGGTCGCCGAGGAGATGGCGGACCTGCAGGAAGTGGCCACGCAGTCGTGGAAGTAGACGTCAACGTCGCCGGGTTTGCCGGCGTAGATCGCAAGCGGAGAGCCGGTGGAAGTGACAGGTATGTACCCTCTACGCTTTCCCGTCGTCTCCTGCCACAGGGCGAGAACTACAAAAACAGCGGACCAAATACAGATCCAGCTAATATCCCGGGACTACAGACAATCATCGCGAATCGCTACAACCCTCCGCTCAGCTTTCCAGTCTCACCTTCACACCTACCTCTATCCCCACAGCACAATCAGCATCCATGTCTCTGTTCTCTCTGCCGATGGCTCATTGCTCGCCGCGGCGATTAACGCCTGTACGCTAGCACTCGTGGACGCCGGAATTCCCATGCCGGGACTACTCTGTGGCTGTACTTCTGGCATGAGTGGCAGCGCCTCTACACCGCGTGACCCGCGACACGACGAGCTTGACCCGCTACTGGATCTGTCGCTTCCAGAAGAACAAGAACTGCCTTCGCTCACTGTGGCGACGACGACGGCGGTACCCGTTGGCGAGAACAATATGGATGAGGATGAAGAGGCAATGAAGGTGTGTGTACTTACTATGGAATCTAAGGTGCACGCTACGTACCTTGAGACGATGTTGGCGGTCGGGATCGATGGCTGCAGCCAGATCCGCGAGTTGTTGGAAGGTGTCATCAAAGGATCGCGTGGGTGACGCAGAAAATGAAAAAAAAAGAAAAAGAGAAAAAGGAAAAAGAACCCAAAGAAGATTCAAATGCGAGAAATAGTTCAAGTTGATACCCTCTTACGTTTAATGTCGCCAGTTACGGTCAGGAGAATTTGCTCAAACCACCTCAACTAAAGTTTTAGGGCCAAAATCTATATTAATCTGCTCATATTGCTCCTATTATGCCATCACATGTTGACAGCTCTTATTCTTCCAAGGTTTATATGTTGTATACTCCTCTGTTTATATTTTGTTCCATTTTGATTTTGACTTGATCAGACATTATCTCAATTCCGTCCTAAGGTCCCCAGTGAACAGTCGATCATGGATATGCACGATATGCACGGGATGACCATGTCAACGGCCACTTCGACAACCTCGGCAGCCATGGCCAGCAGCACCGGAATGGACATGGGCGGAATGGATCATGGCGGAATGCACATGGGAAATAGCTGCAAGATCTCGGTCCGTCGAATATCAATCCCATGTTCCTTATCCTATACATTGAATGAACTCAAGCTTACAGTCATGATCAGATGCTGTGGAACTGGAACACAGTCGACGCATGTACGCACCCCAACAACCCAACATACATATGTATACAAGGCCACAAAGCTAACAAACCACCAGGCTTCCTCGCCAAATCATGGCACATAAAGTCGCGCGGCATGTTCGCCGGCTCGTGCATTGGAGTCATCTGTCTCGTATTGAGTCTCGAGCTCCTCCGCCGTCTGGGCCGAGAATACGACTCGTTCATAGTGCGTCGAGCCCGTCTTCGAAGACTCTACATGTCGGACGCTTCCACCGCGCAATCAACCTCCAACGTCCCCCTGAGAAGCGAAGGAAATACCAACCCGGCTGCCAACTGCTGTGGCGGTAATGTAGAGCCAGACGCTACGTTTTCCAGTGCAGACGACATCACTCCCGTGCCGGGTTCTCCTCAGAACGGAGATTCGAAGAAACAGGCTTCTGTCTCTGCTGCGGCGTCGGCGAATGTCATCCGAGATGGTGCTGTCCAGCGCGAGAGACAGGGGGGTATGCTTGCGCCGTATCGTCCGTCGCTTGTTGAACATTCTGTGCGCTCCCTGTTGCACATGGTGCAGTTTGCTGTTGCGTACATCATCATGCTGCTTGCCATGTACTTCAATGGATATATCATTATCTGTATCTTCATTGGTGCTTTCCTGGGTGCTTTCATCTTCTCCTGGGAGCCGGTGGACTTGAATAAAGAGTAAGTTGTTTTGTCCAGTGTATTAACTACTGTGCCTTACCTGTGCTAACATGGCTTTTTACTCTTCAGGTCAGATGCTACCTCTGTCACTAAGTGCTGTGGTTAGACAGGTATCTGTGCATGGTGTTGTCTCACGTTCCAATTGCGCTTCGATTCTGCAGCATTTCCAGATGCGTTTGATATCCCAATATTTGTTTTATCTTCGAAAAGGCAGAGGGCAATATGGACTTCGTTGTGTCGAGATTTATTGTTCCTTGTTATGCCTTTCGATCTCACCCATAATGTTATGGAGTATGAACACTCTTCTCTCTCAATTGCTGTCTACCCAATTGCTATCTAATAATCAATGAAACAGACTCAAGCAGCGTATGCATTTAATCAAAATCATTAATATCACATACCTTCTATGCATTGGAAGTGGAGGTGGAAACCTTTTCCACCGAAAGAAAAAAAAACCTGCCATCCCACGCGGGGTAAATGTAGTTACCCGCAGACCGAATCGCCCGGACACGTGGAGTTCCCTGGGAAAAGAAAGTGGAAAGACTTGTAATAGGATAATCTCGATCGATTTCGAGCTTTGCAAGGCACTACCTTTAAAATATATATATATATGCATAGGTCAAGATGTAGCTTTTAGGAACTTTGGCTTCGCCCCTCTATCTTGCAAAGGAGTGTACTTCCGTTTTTACAAGACTACAGATCTACGAATCGAACATCGGTCCCCACGACAGATAGGCATGTATGAGCTAGCTTGGTAGAAACTTTAGATTACAAGGCGCAAAAGGGAAAGCCACCTATGCTAGTCCCACGCCGCAATGAAGCGTTGGGGAAGAACCAAGTTCATGACGAAAAGAAAGACGTTCATCCTCCCAACACCCAACTAAATCTCCATAATGAGCTTTTTAGTTGCCACCGCAGTTGACGATGGTGGGCTTGATGTTGCTGCGGAGGGCGCCGGAGGAGGAGCCGAGAGCCTCAATCTCCTTGACGACGTTCATGGACTCGGCATCAGCGACCTCGCCGAAGACGACGTGCTTGCCATCGAGCCACGAGGTGACAACGGTGGTGATGAAGAACTGGGAGCCGTTGCTGGAAAGAAAGGGAAAAGTTTAGTAATGTGGAGCAGCTGGGATACAGAACTGAGACTTACGTGTTGGGGCCAGCGTTGGCCATGGACAGGAGACCAGGGCGGGTGTGCTTGTGGATGAAGTTCTCATCGGGGAACTTCTCACCGTAGATGGAGCGGCCACCGGTACCCTATTCCGGTAAAAACAAAAGTCAGATACCAAAGACTGCAGGGTCTATTAGGAAAGAAAACTCACGTTGCCACGGGTGAAGTCACCACCCTGGAGCATGAACTGGGGAATCACACGGTGGAAGGAAGAGCCCTTGTAGCCCTTACCCTGCTCGGCGTTGCAAAGCTCAGCGAAGTTCTTGGCAGTCTTGGGGACCTCCTTGTTGTAGAGGTTGAAGTTGATGCGGCCAGTCTTGGCTAATAAGGGAATTAGCATCAATTTCAATTCCAATTAATGTAGGATGATTTGAAATTGTCAAGCTTGAATACTAGGATTGAAAGCTGGAGGTCGGAGGCAGCAAGGTAAGATTGAGGCAAAACCCCTCTGCCCCGCCAGGAATGAGAATAACAGAACTGATGGGGGAAACTTACGGGTAGAGGAGCCAACAGGGGCGTACTGGACCTCGAAGAAAGCGGAGCTGTTTTCAGACATAGCGGCGGTTGATGAAGAGAAAGATCGGGCAACGGGGTGGAAAGAAGTGCAATTGAAGAGAGAAGAAGAGAAGAGGGAAGAAGGTGGGGTTATTGACCTCAGTCGGCAGAACATGGTGAGGGGCAGGGCGGAGCGGGTGAACTCGGGTACCGGGCTACTTTGGGGTTAGCTTGTTGGGCTTCACATAAAGACCACTTGTGCACTTTCTGCCTGAGGCTCCACTTTGGAGCTTCTCCAGACTCTCCAGGGGGAAAACATCATTGCTTCTGTTGCCTAATGGTGTCTCTGAAAGAGTCTGAAGCAAAGTGGAAATGCACTCTAACATTCACATGAGAAGGATCCAACTTCACTTACAAAGGATATAGATTGATGAGGAATGCGAATTAACGAAGTAGAAAGAAGGGAAAAAACTGAAGCTCAATGCCAAAAAGCGTCTAGAGCTCCGTGATTATGTAATGTCTTCCGGGATATCCCTGCCGAACTCGCAGTCTTGGCTACGAGAAGATATGCATCTTTAAAGGGGTAAACTTGCGTTGATCTATTGGTATAGTCATTGTTGTATACGGAGTACTTTCATTTCACTTGTATGCGTCCAAAATGCAAGGAAATAACAGCCCGAGGCCAGCAAGCGGTCGTAACATAAGAAAAAGGAACAATTGAAAATGAAATCAGGCCGAAAAACCTAGATGAACAATAGAAAGGGGCTAGAATAAAATACAAAGAATAGGAAAATGTGGAAGAAAGAGAAGTGACGGAGGAAAAGAAATTCTATAAATGCCACATATATCGGGACATCGTTTCAGACATTGTCCACTCGTTGCCATAGATGAATAGTCGCTGAAAAGCAAGGGGCAAAGAGGAAGGAATATAAAGAAGAATTCAAGGGGAAAGAAAGACCCAACGGGTAGCCCGGAGTTCATGTCATGAGAAAACAATGCCTCGGATCAAGCTCATCACCGGAAGTCATCTTCCTCGTCAGCAACTACCGATGTGGCCTCCAGGCGCTGAACAAGGTCTTTGGTCTGCCGAGCGATCTCAAATGCAATGGGAGGCAGTTTGTTCGTGAGCTCACGCAATTGCTCAGGGTGGTGGTGTCTTCACCCTCACTAGCAGTGGCCGCCAACCGGCCACGGCACTGGTCCAATGCCGCAATGACAGGTTCAGACGTCTGCCGCAAGGCGATGTCTCCGGTGCGTTCACGCATCAGTTGCTCTGTAGCGGAAACCACATTCATAACAACGTTCGAAATGGCAGAGACGTGCGTCTGGACAGTATGCAGGTTGTCCTCGGCTCGGATACTGGCCACCAAAGCTTGAATTTGTTGGACCATGCCATCTGTCTGGTCCTCAACATAAAGCTAGGATCACCCGTTAGTAAACCATTCGTTGCCATACTGTCTTTCTCGGGTCGACTCACCTTAAGTTCCAATACCTCATGGTCTTCTTGTACATGCCCCCAGCCATGATTGAGGTCATTGGTCGCACCATTCTGTACAGGATACTGAGAGTCATCCGGGCGACTTATAGCGCTGTAGACGGAGTTATTGCTCATCCGCTTTTGACTACCAGATGTATCGAAATAGTCAGGGAATTGCTCCTGAGATACATCCGCCTCATATTCTTCATCCTCCAGTTCATCTACAGGCGATGCCTGGATCTTCACCGCCCGTATCAGGTCAATAATAGCTGTGCAAAGATGGGAGGCCGCTGCATCAAGGAGTGACACCGGAGACAGACCACTGGAGCTGGCAAAGTTACGAGTGGCGGTGATCATGTTGTTTGCTGTCGTAGACACCTGGCCCTTGACCTTTGCGCGCAAAGCAGCGGATCCATCCACCGGGATTGGGGAATATTCCACGTCCTGGAGGATGTGGCGGACTGTCCCAATGACCATCTTGAGTTGGTGGAGTACCACATGTGATTCCTCGAAACGCGCAACTCGCAAGAGCTCGTCCACACACACCTGGAATTTAGTTACGTGGATATCCTTGACTAACCCGTCGGCTTGCACCAACTCATGTTCTTTGGCAACAAGACTGGCGTCTGGCCGCGAGTCGGCGAAGCCACCGGAGGAAGTTCGAAGATGCCGCAGCTGCGCCTTGACCTTGGCGTAGCGGTGCTTCCATTCGTTGGCATCTGCCTCGAGTCTGTGCACCTCGTTCGAAAGTTGTTCTTCGCGTTCCCAATTGGAGTGGCTCTCGGCTGAAAGGGTCTTCATTTCCATGAGGAAAGCCGCCGCCTCGCGGCGGACCTCGTCGGTCACTTGTTTCTGCTGCTGCAACTCTGCTTGTAGGTTTTGGTGCTGAGTCTCTAAATCCACATAGCGGGCTTGTAGACCCGCATCACCGACACCCCGGGAAGAGTCGTTGAGCTGGCTGCGAAGATCCCGTTCCATGGTCTCGTGCTCGTTTCTTACTCGCTCGAGCTCTAGCTGAAGCGAGCTGTTGAGATCCTCAGCTTTTGATACCTTGCTCTCAAGGTCGTGCCGTAAGTCATCCCACTCCTGGCGTTCGTTATGACTGATCCCGGAGGAATCTGCATCTTGTGATGAATGGGCTAACTCTTCATCCTTTGAGCGGACCAATTCTTCCAACTTTTCAATCTTATCCTGGAGAACCGATACTTGTGTCTGGCTCTCCAGCAACAGTCTTCGTTCACTGTCGCCCAAGGTCGTTGTAGTACCCCGTCGGCTCAAGACAGCGTCAAGAGCAAACGCATCACTCCGAGCATCATCCTCATCCTCTGGGCCCATATCATCGCTATCCTCAACCATTGTACTTTTGTTCGGGACCATGGTATTGCTCTGAAAAGACCGAGGGAAGGGTCCATCGCCATTCATACTCGGTGGGCCCCCAAGAGAGCCACTCCGCGGAGGAAAAGGACTGCCTGGGGGACCGCCAGACGGGTACCCTCGTCCCATACGCGAAGGAGGTCCCCGAGAAGACTGCGAGGTACGAGCGCTGGGAGGACCCATATTGGGAGGCGGCCGGCCGCGATAATCTCGGCTAGTGAAGTGTGGGAAGCGGCGTTCCAGCTCACAGAAGACATCGGTCGCCAGATCTCGGAAACGCACGTGGTGGAGTGCAGCAAGCCTTTGGCGGGCATGGTTGCGCTTTTCGTGAAAGTCGTTGCGGGCGGGGAGGTAAGGAGGCACGTCCGGACGAGGAGGCCGTCCGGGAGGCGGCGAGGCCTGCTGACGCCGAATCAATTCGTCGTAGACATCCGTGGAAAGTTCGTGGAACTGGGTTGGAGATAGCCGCAGCAATTTGTCCCGGGCTTTATTCGATTTGCGGTCGTCGCGAGCTGTGCCATTCAAAAATCTTCTCAGGACACCATAGTGCTGGCCCAGGATCTCCTCCATCTGACGGTACCGTCTTCCATCGCGCTGGCCATCTGCTAATGTCCCGGAACTTGATCTTGCGGCGACCGAACTGGGTGGGGATGGGTTACCGCTCCGGGTGGAAGGTGATAGCGAAGGAGGTGGCCCACTGGGACTTAAGGGTGCGCTCGGGACGCCGGAGGTCGGAGGTGTGGCTAGGTTGGGTCGTGATGATGGGAATGTTGGCGAGAATGGAGAGTCCGACTTTCCATACTGATTCAGCCCCGACCATTCGCTGCCATCGACAGAGACAGGCGACATAGCTCCCGAACCTCCATTCATATCAGGGTCAAAATGCGGGTGCTCCGACTTCACCAATGAATACTCAAGCTCACTGTCCGAAGGGCCAGCTGCGGATAATCGATAAAGGCATTCACTTCGTTGCGGCAAAAGTTAACTCCCCCGTATTTCTCCACTAAGATTCCAATCTGAGACAATGGAGCCGGAGGTGAGGAGTCGTGATTCGCCACGAGGCAAGAAGAATGAGAGTAGCAGAAAGTACCAGATCCGAAGGAGTGAAGGACTGGACTGGGGGAAAGGGACAAATCGAAAGTGCGAGAGTGTGGTTTTAGTGTAGTTGAACTCTGCGGAGTTCCCTTACGGCAATACCCGTCAGGTACTTCAAGTTCCTTACAGGCACTACATGCATCGAATGCATCGACAGGGATTTATGCGTAAGGATGTGATTTCAGATCTCATGGACTTTATGTATTTTTCTTTCATTTATTTACTTATAATTTTTTTTTTACTTGGCTATCTGTTAACCTCTGAAGATCGATTTCCCCTAAAGCTTGAATAACATCAATACCTAGTTAAGCAAAACATTGGTTATACATACAATACTTGTGTACTCGTATTCGATACTGCCAAGGACACGGCCCAGGAAGTTAATTGCCAAGGGGCATACACATGTACAATAATGGACAGAGTACTTCGTACACTCTACTCCGTACGGAGTATATAACTGCTCTTTCTTGCCTGGTATAAGCAGTTAATAATATTCCATACATTTACCTCGGACTCTGTGACTGTGTCTACATATGTATACATATGTACGGAGTACCTGTATAAATTTACTCCGTAGTACAATATAGAATTAAATAAAAGAAAGGAGTTGGCGATTCTAGGCCCTTGCGCCCCATAAATTTTGTACACCGTATACCTACATGTATAAAAGTACCCCGGTCCCACCTTGTATTTGATGGAATCTGGCCTTCTACATACTCCGTACACAGTACGCAGTAGAATGAAGCGAGTTAATATTAGTATTCTTTATACTATAAAGCTATTTAGGCTTTAAAGCCCCCTTCGGTTATATAAAGAGCAGCAGGAATAGGGTGAAACCCCATTGATTAATGCTCTCTATATAGACACTGGAAACTGAAGCAGGGAACTCATTGAATTAGTAATAACAGTTGCTCCTAGAGACAACGATACTCTTGATGTGTCCGGAATATACATTATCGCTAAAGATAACGAGGGTTGACTGTATACATACTCATCGGGATTTTAGGCCGCGCGATATGGCTTTCCCTTTCCGTTTTAGTGCCTCTTGAGCAAAACTAGGTACATGAACCTATGGTATCAAATTATGTATCAAATTAATATAGGATTATACCAGGTACATTGGTGGGTAGGAATTCAAAAAAAAGAAATTGACAAGAGTGGGATTCGAACCCACGCGCTTTCGCATTACGGTTCGTTTATATATAACGGGTTATATATATCCTAAACGT